CTCTAGTGGTTATCTTGGGGCCGAGTTTCAAGAGACCATGGTGGGTCTTTAATGTCCTTTTCGATTGTAGCAAAAGATCTCTGAAGTAATGCTTGTATCTTTAATTTTATTAGGAAGGTACTCCCCGTACGCATCCAGCCGAAAGTGTCGCTTCACCTGTTAGCCATCGGCTTCCAGGACTGATGGAATATCAAGGAGTTGGCTTGAGATCTCAATACCCTGTTGAGAGAAAATGGGCTCTTGGACTTCAGGTTTTGATATTTTTTGTATTTAAGCTATAAAGACTTAAGCTTTTGATATCTATCTGATTAGTTTGATTGATAATATGACCACTTGATCATACAGTCTCGGGCTCATCCCCGTGAAATCATGACAGAAGTCCTGAAAGCCCTGCAAGATTTGAATGTTTGTTGGAAGAAGATAGGGCACTACAACATGAAGTGCAGATGGGTTCCTAACAGCACAGATGGTATGCTCAGTAACTCTATGCACGATAACAACTACTTTGGAGATGATCCCAGCATAATAGAGAGCGATGCAGCTGTCAAGTCGCCGAATGTTGTCAAGTTTGAAATTCAGGTAATTCTCTTCTCCACTACATGATAGCAAACATTCATATGAAGTAAGACCCGTGTTAGAGTAGAGAACCCACACACAAAGCAATTATGTAACATCAGTTCAAGTGTCCAACAAGCCATTAGAAGTTAGCATAATGGTCTTTTCGATGTGATTTTGGGTGAAGTGTTTTAAGTATCCATGGCCATTTTGAAACTGAAATAGAAGTAGAGTTAATCATCTTGAATCTAACTATCAACCAATAATATTCTGGGCTTGATGAAGTTTGTTGGATGTTGATGGTGAAAACAGTTGTATAAAACTCGGGACGACAAGTATCTGCTGGATCTGCAGAGGGTACAAGGTCCTCAGTTCTTGTTCTTGGATCTCTGTGCTGCTTTTCTTGCTCAGCTCCGAGTTCTCTGAATACCAAATCGGACCTCTTCAAGAATGATCCCCCCACCTCTTCTTTCTTTTTTCTTTTTCGTCTAAGAAATATATTCAGAAAGGATTGAAAAGTTAGCTTTTTCTTTGTTTATTTTTTGTGCTCTACTAAAATAACCTCTTTTTAACTAAAATGTAAGACCGGACAACTCGAGTAAAAGAAAAAGATAAAAAAAAAAAAAGACATGAGCAACTTTGTACATAACTTAAGCATTATGTCACCAAGGTTGACCTTTTTTGAGGTTGTTTTTGTTTTTATAAACAAAATAAATGAACAACATCAAAATTAGTTCTTGAAAAAACAAACAGCTTATACTCTAGTCCATGATTTGTTTTCGATTCTTACAAAAATAGACGCAATAAAATATTTTTACTAAATTCTAATTCTTGACTTCTTCAATATGTGGGATGTTGATAAAATTCGAAATATCTTTCTTTATTTTTATATTGATGTTGCATTTGAAGGTTTCCTTCCTCGTTAATAACTTTTTAAGATGAGCAAATTCAATAAAGTTTTTTTTTCTGGTCAACAGAGCATTCAATAAAGTAAGTCTTAAAGAGTGTATCTTTCTGGTTTATTATGGAAAGTTTATAAATAAATTTATGTATAATTTCAAGAAATTCATTATCTGATTGGGAAAGAAGTTTGAAGAACACGTTTGTCACATTTCATCCAAAAATAACTATACAAATTAAAAAACAAACCCAAAAGAATTTCAAAAGTGTCCAACGTGTGGTCTACCTAACCCAGTTATTTTCTCCTGCAAAAATAAAACAAATAACACTTGAAAGAATGTGTATGTGTGTGGTAAACTCTCACAAAAATACAATGAAATTTGTAAAAGAAAAAAATATAAACAAATATATCTTTTCGAAAACCTGAAACTGAATCATTTCAGTATGACTTGGGCTATTCTTTTTTCTTTTTGTGACAAATTAAAACAAATATGCACTACAACAAATGACAGTTGTAAAAAAATATGTATATATATACTTGGCTGAAAATTCTGGTAATTAGTGATTTATCTTTCCCCTCAAATTATCAACCTCTCTCTATTCGTGGTGGTCTCCGAACACCAACTCTAACATCACTTTCAGTCCTCCTCAATATTTCATTCATCCCATTAGTTTGAAATATCTTCGGATTCGCCCCATAATTCGCCAAATCCTGTAAGGAATTTATCAAAGTTATAAAATTGAAGCTGCCAAAAATGGAATTCCAACAACCGGTTTAGATGGTACTGGGTTCAATTGACTCATACCGCATCTTCTTCTGAGTTCTTGTGATGCACGCCAGAGAACAGCAACACATCAGCGGAGTCCAGAGAAACGTGAGGCCTAAGAAAGCTCGGTTTCTCTTCGTTTATTGTTAACCCGAAAGTGTTCTTTGCGAAAGCCATGCTCATACCACTGACGTGGCTCGCAGATCCTGCCGGCTGGTTATAAGTCAGCGTCGAAGCTACGTCCTTTTCTTTCCTCTTCTTTGTCCCTGCCCACGCGAACCCACTCGCTGGTGCCGTGCTTTGTGATAAACTGTTGTAAGGAAACTCGCTTCGCGTTGTTGCCTGAGATGTCTCTGACGGCGTCTGGATAACAATTTGTGTTTCAGCTTCCTTCTTCGCTTCCTATTCAAAATATTATATGAACAAACTTACAAAATATTTAACCGGGAATTAAAGTCATCCATAGGTATAGAGAAGCACCATAATACTGTACCTGGTGGGTTGGTAATCTGGTGAGATTTGTATGCTCTTTCACTGTTCTACGAGATTTCCCCATTTTCTTGGTTGCCAAATTATCTCTTTTCTTGACACTAACTCTTCTCCTGCAAGACAAAGTTTCAATCTCTCAACACAAGTGATATACACACACACAGCTCTGACCACGAAATTTATTGGTACCTTCGTTGAAGTTCTTCGCGGTACTTAGCATCCATTTCTTTGTTAGGAGGATACTTAGGTAATGTCGATGGATCGCAAGCGTAAGGCTTTGTGTTAAAGTACTGAAGAACAACAACAAACCACAGAGGAGAGACAAAAGAGTTTCAGCTTATTTGATTATACAACAGGTTAGGGTTTCAAATAGTCAGTTTTGTCACCTCTGACATGAGAGCAGAAGAAGCAGTTCCTCGTTTCTCAGGGTCAATGGCTAATAGATTCTCCAGAAGATTAATTGCGGTTTCCGGAAACTCATCAAATCTTTCTCTCAAAGAACCTTCATATTGATGCTGTGGTCTAAACATCTTAGTTTGAGGATGAAGCTTGTTCTTTTGCCAGAATTCTTCATCCGGTGATCCACAGAGTTTATATATCTTGTGAAGTTGTTCAATCTAAAAAGAAATAGCACAAACAAAAAATTTCAGGAAAATAATCTCTTCTCTGGAGTGAGTAATTTCAGTTCATTGGTTTGCTCCCCTGTCTCACCTCTGTTCTTCCTTTAAGAAGTGGTCTTCCGGTAAGAATCTCAGCGAAAACACAACCAACACTCCAAAGATCGACCGATACACTATAACTGGTCGAACCCATCAGAAGTTCTGGTGCACGGTACCATAATGTCACGACCCGACTCGTCAACTGATTCTTGTTTCTTGGTGTTACAATGTTGGCTAATCCAAAATCAGCTAGCTTTAAAACTCCTTTGTTATTCACCAGAATATTTGCGGCTTTAATGTCTCTGTGCATGATCCCTCGCAGATGACAGTGTTCTACTCCCCATAGCAGTTGCTTCATGTAGCATTTGATCTGAAAACGAAATTAGGGTTATCAGAAGAAGAAAAACAGAGTTACTTGCAGAAAGGGTCAGGGTTCTCTCTTTCTTGCCTGTGCCTCGGTGAAGTTGATGTCGGGAGATGAACATAAGCCTTCGAGATCGTGTTCCATATAATCAAACACAAAGTACATGCTGTTTGAATTCCTTGAGGCGATGATCCCTTCGAGTTTCATAATGTTGGGATGATCTAATCTTCTCAAAATCATGATTTCTCTCGCTATGAATCTTATATTTTCAGTTTCAAAATTTTGGACCCTTATCTTTTTTAAAGCCATTACTCGTCCCGTCGATACCTCACAAGCCCGGAACACGTTGCTGTACGTCCCTTGTCCGATCTAAGATTTTTGAAAAAAGTTAATTATTGAGAGATCATTGATAGGGTTTTTTTCTTTTCTGGCAAGCAATGTAATGATATAAAATTAGGTTTAGGATTATTTTACGTACCTTCTCTCTTTTCTCGAAGTCCTCAGCCCGTAGTGGAACCCATCCATGAACGGCCTCCGGTGCGGCGGAGCTGAGCCAGGAGGGCCAACCAACCGCCACCTGCTCAGCCGCTACATTACCGTGCGGCAAGCCCGATCTCAGGCTAACACCGGTCGTCCTAGATCTTGGAGCATCATCGTCATTATTGTGAGGTTTTTTGGGAGATGAGTTGACGACACGGCGGTGAGATGGAGGACCGGGAAGAACATGGCTTTCATGGTTTTCTTGGGGTTTGGCATGACTTCGGTGGTGGACGTTTGTGTCGAAACGACGGCGGTGAGGGCGTGGAGGACCAGCCGGAGAAGAATGCTTGGAGTTGAAGCAACCCATAACGATATAATTGTCAGAGGAGAGTTTCCGGGCGGCGTGAGTATCGACCCGGGTCGGGTAAACGGGTCCAACGCAGGGAGGGCAATCCCCGCATTAGACCATGAAGAAACGAAAATAAAGGAGAAAAAAATTTAAAAAAACAAAAATTTAAGGAAAATAGTTTTTGATGTAAAATAGAGAAAACCGAATCGAGAGAGACAGATAATTGCGGAGAATTCGATAATCCTCCTTAAACTCTGGAAGAGCAAATTAAGAGACAACAAAAACAAATCTTTTTTATCTTCAATCTTTTTCATGTGTAATTTTAAATAGATTTTATCTGATTCACCGACAAGAAAATTTTATAAAATATTTTGTTTCTAAATTGTGAAGGGGAACAAAACTGAAAAGCAAAGTATATAGTCTATATGTTACATTCGTATTTTCAAACAATGATTAGATACAAACAAATCAAGAAGAAAGACATATTTATTTTCTTTAGTTAAAAGCATGCACTCAATTCACATCACACTTGTTATGCAAGTCATCAATCAGTAGTAGTCTGGTTCAAAATCAATCACGTACCGAGAAGCTAAACCAATCCTAAATCAATCTCGAGATCTTCGGTTTATATTAGTCAAATAGTAATTTTCTCTTCTTTCAGTCTCAATAGAACCGGAGACTGGCCTGAGTTATTATTATTGCTACCGAAGCTCATGTTTTGTTGCATATTGTTCCCGGACATTGATCTCATACGATGTTGGTCGGACGTCCCAGCCGCGGCAGTACCGTTTCTTGCGGCAGGGACGTCGTGGTTGTGTTTACCTTCGTAAGTTGTAATCACAGCCTTAGCATCGGTTGAAGCTCTCTCTACATGTTTGCGCACCGTACAATTCGCCGTTGTACATTTATAGTAGCTCCTAATATTACCAAAACAAAAGGACTACTGTTTTTAGAAACAAATGTTAAACAATCTAGTATATAGTGATATCAACTTGGTTGACTAGACTCATTTTAATTAGACTATATGAACATAAAAACAAAACAAAAAAAAAAAACCCTAATTAAATATATATTACCTTGGATGGGGATTTCCTTTGACAACTTTTTGTCCGTACTTGCGCCACCTATAACCATCGTCGAGAAGATCCACTTCACTTCTTGTCTGGACAATTATCTTTGGCTCGGTCACCGTCCGGTGAGTCGTCGACACACCGTCTATTTTCCTATATTCCCAACAATATTAGTTCGCTAATTGGAAATGGCATGAACGTTTTATACTATTTATGTGCTCTTTCCATATTAGTAGTCACATGCACTTCTAGTAGTATACCTTATCTTTGAACCCGGAAGATCTTCATCACCATCATCATCGTCATTGTTATCATCATCATGATCCTTACCATAACCACTATCATCACTAGATTCCATCACATGCCCTGCACCACCAACAACGAAATGAATATGATCACCAGCCTCAACGGAATCTCTGCTTCCACCTCCACGGCGATTCTGAGGCCTCTCGTGATCATGTTGACCTTTGTAAATGATCTGAGTGATTTGTCCATCCGACGACCTTTCAACTTTCTTCTTAACCGGACAGTTAACATGTGTGCATTTGTAATAACTCCTTGGATATTCACACCCTTTGATAGGCTTTTGTCCGTACTTCCTCCAGTTGTAACCGTCATCCGCCGGTTTATCAACATTTACCACATTATACGACCGGCTATTATTGGCCGGATTATTATGATGGTTTCGAGCTCTTTGGTCGGCTTGCGAAACTTCAAAAGATTGACGGCCATGGATGGCGGTGGATGTCGATGTCGGCATATGGTGTGAAAATGTGTCTTGTCGTTGTGGTTGATGAGGTTGAGGCTGGGGTTGGACAAAGCTGGTCTGAGCTGTTGACTGCTGCATTATATTTCATACCATCGATTTAGTTGATCATATGGTATATATAGTACTATTACGAAAAAGGAAAATGACATGAAAAACTAAAAATGCTGGTTTGGAACTAGCTATTAAGTAACTAACGGTGTCCAAAATATGTCGGTTTTATAATATTGTCGAGGCATTTTTCCCAACTTAGATTTAGACGATTGTTCATCAGTGTATGAGTTTTGAAATAAACCATGTTTTTTCATTACGAACTAATTAAATGTGAATTATGAACTTATTTAGTAATTTGGTATAAGTTCACATAATTAATCTTTTTTTTGTGTTTTAGTAATTTTGTTTTCACATAAAAAATCACTCTACAAACTAACATAGTAATTAAGGATGAGAAAGAATTAAAAACCAACCTGATGAGGAGGAAAGAAGATGGGAGAGGTGAGAAGACTAGAAGGGCTGAAACCAGAAGGGACTGTAAACATCGGACCTCCTCCGGGGAACATCCCCGCCGTAGAACGTCCTCCGCCGCCAGCGCCAGGAGACACCGACATAGCCCCGGCGAGAAGCTGAGAGAAGGACGACGTCGTTCGTTGATTATCCGGTGTCAACACGTCAGGGAAGCTATCAACGAAGAAAGAAGAGACAAAGGAAAGTGGACCTGGGCTAAGGCTAAGCCCATCTCCACCGCCAAAGAAATAAGCCGCCGTTTCGATCGCCGGGGGCCTCTGAGGAACAGTGATCGTGGGTCTTGTTGGAGCCACTAGCGTGGTCGTTCTTATCGAAGAAGATACATCGTCTTCTACGGCCATATCCTGAAAATAGAAATCTCAATCTTTGTAGATCTCTTTAGATATTAATTACTGTGTGGTGTATGTCTGTGTCTATGAATATATATATATATATATACAGAGGGAAACAAAGAGACAAGAGTCTTCTGTTTCAATGTATGTTTTTCTTTAGATCGGTTTCGTGCAGCCTTGACATTGGTTTTCAAAAGTCTACGGGCTAAACATTTGGAACTTCTTTAATATTAGTTATTTTATTACTAATTTATTGTGCTCCAATCACTCTATTCTGAATTTCGCATTTAAGCTTTTTATTATTATCAGTCTTATGAAAAATAACTCCAACTTGTATCTTTTATTATTACCATTATATTATAATTGTTAGTTTAATTAACAGGTTGATTGAATAACCAAAAATTATGGTGTTTAACTTGTAAAAGTCATCTTGGATACTATTTGTACTTGTGCATTAACATATTAGTAAATCCTGTGGACCAACAATATTAGGTTGTTTACTAGACCTTTTCATGTCGTAAAGTGGAACTTAATTATTTGAGTTAACCGCTAATCAAATTCTTTATATTATCAAAAATTATCCACTCGACCGGTAGATATTTTTAGTATTTTTTTTTCTTTCTAGTTTTCACTTTTCAGGTGATGTCATGAGTCTTTGTGTTTCTTGATCACATCTAAAACATCAATAATCTAGGCTTAGTATAATTAAACATTAACAATAACTTAAATGCATCACATAGTCTATATTAAGAGTTTTTAAATAACGTCGTCCAATGTGATGATCAATAGAGAGGCTTGTATTTTTCCCAGAGTTGTTAGCCTCAAAAGACCGGCACTTCGAGGCGGCCATCAGTCCAAGTGGCGACAAACTTCACTTTTTAGATTAAATGAATGTAAGTGAGGAAATATAATGGATTCAATGGTAAGCTGACCAAGTGGGTATATATGTGTTAGGTTCAGATCAGTTTGATTTACAAAGAATACAAAACCACATCATTCTAGAATACTAAACATAAACTGATCGACGATTTTAGACAGGTGTGGTAGAGTCGTTTTTGTTTGCTTATCGTTGTTCAATCGTGTAAGTGATGGATGCAGGACTGTTGATCATATATTTTTATGAGGTCATCATTATAGAGATATCTTATGCTATCCTCGATATAAGATACTTTCTTTGCAAATCTTAGGGTAAAAACCCCCTAAAATTTATGCATTGAGGATTGTCTTATACTTCTATAATGTTGATCTTACCTACTTACAAGTATCCGTTAGATCTTGCTTAAAGTAGTAGAGGTCAAAACTTTTACAGGTGGAAATTAAATGTGAGATATGAAATAGCCAATAAACATCCACCTTATTCCTTTATGAGCCAAAAACAAAAGGACCAACTTGCATTTGTTATTATATATTTATTTATTTTATGCAGAACATAATCTTCAATTCACTAAAATGACCGACAGTAAAACTACTATGCCCATTTCTTTTTTCTTTGAATATTAATCTCCTTAAGATTGGGGTTTCGAATGGATGGGACACAAAGAAAATCTGGAAAGGATCCATTTGATTCCGAAATCATAAATTTGATTAGCACCGGCTAATTATTAGTAACATAATAATTAATGTTCGATATTGCCCACGACTTTAGTCAATTATTTGATACTATATTTTACATGTATCATTATTGTAAGTTCTTTTCAAGTGACCAAACTACAAATTTGAAGCTGAAACAAAATGTCAAAAATATAATATCGCTGATTATAAAGATCTAATCTCTCCTCGATATGATATAATGAATAATAACGTGATTTTGGGAATATTAGTGCTAACGATTTGTGTTATATTAAATTACGTTTTGTTTCGGGGGATCGTTTGAAGCAAGACAAGTGTCTGCGTAGCATGTTCTTCGGAGTGTTAAGAGAATTAAAGGAATCAACAACTTAAACTAGTTAATTAACTGACATTTGTTTTTGCAATTTGTATCATTATTTTGTTGTTTTTGACACCTAAGGGACAGCCTATTGATACCTCATTACTAAAGTAAAATTATCAGTTTCCATTTTCTTAATTTATTTTCCCATCTATACATGTAAAATTTGATTTATATAATTCGATAATCATAATTTTTATTTTTGGTGTCACGCAGTATGATGAGTTATATGGACGCAATAGAAAGGGAAGCAATTCAAGTATGTATTGAAACATTAACAAAGGTTTGACATTTCTTGATATAATACTTAGATTAGCAATTACGGAATTCAAATGACAAAGACGTTAAGTTAAACTCGAGAAGGGTCAAGAAGAATTGTATAACCTTGGTCTATGAAAAAAAAAAACATGGAGAACAATAAACTTATGACCACAAAAAACCTTCAAGAGCTGTTTTTTGTTTTGTCGGGACGTGTGGTTGACTTTTGGATAAGGGTCAAGCTATATTATCTAATTAATTTAGGCTCTTTACATAGTCGAAAAATCCGATAACCACACGAACAATTTAACGATTTATTAAAACTGAAAGTGAATTATATTATTCTTTTTTTAATGGGTTTAAGTATAAAACTATACACCTTCAGATGATCAAATCTCGTGGTCAGATTACTTTACAATCACGTCATTATCAATGTGATGAACTAATGATGATACAATAAACTGCCAGCCTTGGTTAATAAACTAAAATAGTCTAGCTAGCTGGTTATTTGTTAAAATTGTTTTATGGTCATCGACAATATTTTAATTTAATCAATGAAAAAAAAGACTAGGGTTTCGATAGGCTAAGGTGACTAGTCATGGCGTCCACTGTTTGTGATATGATCAGGGTTTAGTTTAATATATAAGTTTTAGGTGTTTTATGAAAAGAGTCGAACAAATTAGATATTACGATCTACAAATATTATTAACGGCTAGCTAGTACCACGTATATATATGTAGACAATAAGCTAAGAGTCCAGATTTTTTCAGATTTAAGTAGATTAAAAATGTACAAGAAATAGTTTTTTGACACAAATTTTTTTGAACTAAATATGTATATGAAAAAAAAAAAAAAGCCAAATGTTCTAACATTTCATATCTTACACGTTTATTTCATAGAAATCTCTAACCAAACAGGGTTAACCACAACTTATTTTGTTTACCCATTTACAACAAGAAAAGAAAAAACAGTGTGTACTGTGTAACATATTACATATATATAGATCGTGGAGAAAGTGTGACAATCCTTATGCAGATAATTTAAAATCGATAAGCAAAAGAAATAAAACAAGTGGAGCAGTATAAAAATATTCTTGATAAATAAATAAAGAAATATTCATATTCTGTCAACAATCATATAGATATGGACGTGTTTGCATACACAGTGACAAGACAACTACTAGCATCCTCTCCTTATTATTCTTCTTTGGGGTCAACTATCATCTATGTTTTCAAATTGATCAAAGGTCTATAACTTAAGATCCAAGCCCAAATCGTAAGGCCCACTAAGGTTAAGAGCATGACTAATCTGCTTTTCCAACCCAACAAAAGCAAAAGCATGAGTTCTCTCCATAGACCCACACAAACACATCCAGAGCACAACAACTAAAGATCCAAGAATCTAACATAAAAGAGCTTCACTTCGTGAAGATATAAATAGAATCTTACAATTGTCCTCTCTTTAAGAGAAAAATCCAGACTTGTTACCACAACAACGCGTCCCACATTGTCCCAACTGCTGCGAAAGCAGCGACCGAAACAACCAACTGATAAGCAAAAGCAGAGACCGTGGAAGTTCTTTTTCCTGCACTGTTCTTGATAGCTGAAGCAGGTGGTGTAGGAGGTGGTGTCTCAACTAAAACAGCAAGCTTCATACCGCCGTAACATCCACCACCATTACCACTAATGAGATAGTAATACCTGGTCTCATTAAGATAAACCAAGTCCCTTCCAGCTCCACGAGTCCAGTTAGCGATGGGATTGTTGGAATTGCAGTTTATATAGTTCGTCTCGTTCACCTCTATAACGTTGAATTGGTTTCTCTCGTAAACAAAATCTATGGATACAAACATGAAACCAAAATAGAGACACGTACATTGAGAAACACACAAATAAGTCAACAAGAGACCTGATTTGGGATCTTATTGAAAAGACTTATTAGTTCAGAAACAGAGCCTAGATAAACTGAAACCTAACATGTTCAAACTTTTAAAAAAATTTGGGTGCCGTGAAAGACCAAACAAAAAGAAAAAAACAGAGCGATTGAAAAGAGTCAAGTGGTACTCCTTTTCAAACAGCCTATGACATGACCCAAAGTATATATTCTAAGATATAAAAACATAAAGTGTGTGTGATAATATCAATAGAGAGAGAATAAAGGAGGGAGAGCATACAGAGCCAGTCGTCGAGGTAAAAGTGTTTGTCCTGAGCCCAGATGGTATAGTTGATGACATTGGGGTTCCAAAACTTGTTATCTCCCACAGTCCATCTCTTTGCCGTCACCGGCGCCGCAGCAAGAAAAGCCATAACAGCCGCCGCAACAAACAACGCAGCAACTCTCGCCATCGATCAGATGATCACTCTCGTCACCGGATGGGTTCTTTTCTTCTTCTAAAAGTAAAATATTGAAACCTGAGGAGGAGGACACGCGAGTATCGTAATCTTTTTTTGCAGGAAAAGATCTTTCAAGATCCGTAATTTCTTCGTCTACTTTAAAAACCCTTTGAATCCTTCTATGTATTATTAATAAACCTCGAGCTTGACGAAAAATTTAAAGATAAGCGTTATGTTTGTTATGGGAAATTTCTCTATTCCCTTATTTTGACCCTAAAAGAAAATAAAAAACGTCAATTTCTATAACTTGGCTAATTTATTTCTTTTTTGGCGATTATATTCTACTATTCTTTTTTGGTTTTGTTTTGTCATATTTTCTTTTTAATTTCCTTTTTGGCCGAGATTTATTTCCTTTTTATTGGTTGTAAATAATTGTTAAAACTTAAAAACTAAAGCTAGGATTCATCATTTCCCCCAAGACACAAGAGCATATTGAGGTACAACGAAAACATTTCTTTCAATGTTTACTTTGATAAGTTGTGTAATACTCTACGAGTTTATCAAGGTACAACTGGTGATGTAGTAGTTTATTGGTACACAAAATAGTTAACTTGTATTTTTGTAGCCGTTACGGTCACTTATGACATAACTCATAACCACAAGGCCGATGGAATTTTTATTAAAATATTGTACATATAGGAGTATAATTTTTCTTCTTTGGCAAATTTCTCCAATGTTCTATTTACAGTTTCTTTTAACAAAACCTTGTTTCCTCTTTTTCATCATATTGGCCAATAAGAATTTTGGTATTTTTTCCCATTTTATTTTTGATTTACACTAAAATTATATATGTCCACACAATAATATCCACGTAGGAAAACTATCCCGCAATACCCATCCACGTGTCCAAACATCAGCTTCTAGTTCTATTGTACAACAACTAAAAAGCAAACAAACAAACAAACAAAACCTTAGCTGAACCGGAACACATCGACCAGAGAGAAGCGAAGAAGGAAAATGGCGGCAGCGGCCATAGCCGTTCATCTCCCCAAACATTCTTCGTTTCTTCCGAAACCCAAACTTCCTTTGGATAAAAACATCATCTTTCTCGGTGGGTCATTGAATTTAAGTCGACCCATGTCCGTAAACCGAGAGATTAAAGCTCCGGTTATGGTTTCTGCTTCTTCGTCGAGCAAGTCCGTCGTTACTGATGACGACTTAGACGGAGATCGGAGCAAGCGGTTTTATTTTAACTTCACTGGCTTTCCTTTTCCCCTTGGCCCTTTCCTTAACCGGCGCACCATCAGAACCGAGGTTAGCTTTTTTCCTCCATCTCTCCCATTTCATTAGGATTCTTTAATTTTCAGATTCACAAGTCGGTTACGCCCAAAACCACTGTTTCAACTTTGAACCTTGTGTTTGTTCGCAGGCGGTTAAAGGTTGCATATGGATGTTTGAACAAGAACAAGCTTTAGGTTTTAGCAGTGTGTCCACGAATATTCGAATGACTGTCATCAAACTAAAATCTGGAGGTTTATGGGTTCATGCTCCTATTGCTCCCACCAAGGAGTGTATTCAGGTTCCCTTTCTTCTCCTTTCCCACCAAATTGGATTTTGGTTCTTTATGACTAACTATCTCCAGAGAATTGAATTGCTTTAACAAAAAAACAAAAAAAGTAATTGTTGAATTGACAAAGTATCCTACTTTCTTGTTTTTTCTCTACTTGCCTTGATATTTTACACTTACTTAGGTTGTTAATTAGAGAAAGCGTTCAGATGGTTGAACTCTATTGGCTATTTCGCTTTGTGGCAGCTTATTAAGGAGTTGGGAGCTCCCGTTGAGTACATTGTCCTGCCAACATTTGCTTATGAGCACAAGATTTTTGTCGGTCCATTTTCTAGAAAGTTCCCTAAGGCTCAAATATGGGTGGCACCAAGACAATGGAGCTGGCCATTGAACCTACCACTCGAGTTTTTCGGTATCTTTCGTGCTAATATCATTAAAGACGGGGACTTATCTACGCCATGGGCTGAGGAGATCGAGCAGAAAGTCCTAAGCTCTCCAGAAGTTGGTATGTTCCTTCAGTTTTTCAATCTGGTTTGGTTGGTATGTTCCTTCAGTATCTCAATCGGGTTTGGTTGAAAGATTCAGAAATTGTATTTTCTAATGGATATCCAGGAATTGGACCATATGTTGAAGTAGCGTTTTACCATAAGCGGTCAAGAACACTTTTAGTCACTGATGCTGTGATCTTCGTCCCACGGAAACCTCCCTCAAGTATCAGTAACGAATCCTTGTTGGCCTCGGCTAAGAATGGACTAGCTGTGAAGATACTTAGCAAAGGAAAAGACGTTCCTAATGATCCAGTGGTTGATAATCCCAACACCCGCCAAAAAGGTCAGCAATTCTTAAAATCAAATTTCCTTGTTTTCAACCAGAAGATCTTAGATATCAGTGGCCTCTGTTTGTTTTAAAATTTGTAGGATGGGAAAGGATGGTTTTGCAAATCCTATTTCTTGGTCCCTCGAATCTCTTGGAACCAAACGCAAGCTTCGCAAAAATGTCGCAGAAACTGATCGTTTCTCCCATTGTAAAGACTCTGGTCTTTAGCAAAGTCCCTGAGAAGGTTCCTTATCTCTGCATCATCTGTTTAACTCTTTTTTTTTTGGGTCCAAACGGGTTTGTTTTGATTCGTTCATCACTAATGTTTCAGGTGAGGGATTGGATAGATGAGATAGCCCGTGACTGGAGATTTAAAAGGATAATCCCAGCTCATTTCGAAGCTCCAATAAACGCAGGAAGATCAGAGTTTCTAGCTGCATTTGGATTCCTAGATGATCTTCTAGGGGAAAGATATGTAACTCAGCCTTCGCTCTCTCTTATCTTCACGTCGCTAATGGGAAAAGCTGCGAGCTATTTTCCTCCGGACGATATGAGAACTCTCTCTTCTCTTGATCAGTTCTTAGTCTCTGTTGGAGCTGTGAAAAAGACAGTCTCTGGTAGAAAAGGAAGATGATGGAGAAAAATAGAAAAAGGATTAAGTCTTCAAATGTTGTTTGTTTACTGAAGCTCTCTGTGGGTTAACATAGTATGTACACACACTAGGGCTTTATCATTTCATCGCCTTACTTCATCTGGTGTTGAGAGTGTAGTCAAACAGAGAACAAGGTGTAGATATATTACATGTCGCAAAGAAGCAATTTATATATCTAATGGTTTTAGGGATAGTGTGTGTAACGTGTATATAGGACCAAAAAAAAAAAAAGAGTTTCCAAAATGTATTTTTAAAAATACACCTTATTTTACGAATAAAGAAACAGATTGAGTATATGGATGTAGTGGAAACAAATCAAGATTGAGGATGAAAACTGAAATTGGTCATAGGACATGATTGCGCTGGTTCTAAGTTAAAGTTTTAACAAAACAAAAAACAAGTTCATCTTTAAGCAACGGCATCATTTATATATATATAAGAGCATGATTATCAAGGAGTTTTAACAAAATCTTAAGTTAAGAAAAGTACAAAAAAACTAAGAAAAGTGATTAAATATCTCTTATACAAGAGACATAAACTAACTTTTCTTACCTTTTCTTAACTTTTTTTAGCTTAAAATTTATTTAAGAACCCCTTGTTAATGATGGTCTAAGACCATCCTCAATGGTCAATCCTTATGGTAATCCTTAGTGTATTAGCATTTAAATATAAATCAAAATACACATAATTACCTAAGGATCGTATCTTATATAATATCAAAAATTGGGTGTAAGAGGCGCATACGTGGCAAGGTTTGATTGGGTGTTATGAAAAAAAAATAATTCTCTCTCTCTCTCTAGCATCCAATCGGTCGAGCACATATAAACAAAACATTATACAAATCACTTTTAAATTAATTGTGATTTGTGTTTATGTTATTTATGCAATAAATTGTATCTCATCTATATTTTTAGTTTTTATTTTCTAATAATTATTAACTTTTCAAAAATTAAATTGTTAATTTTTTAACTTTTTTATTTTTATTTTTTAATCATAAGATACACTACTTAAGAACCCACCAATGATTCTGCATAAAAACATAAAAACTTAATTACATTTCTTAACATCATTTTTTACAAATAAATTAATAAACAAATCACAAGATTTTTTTTTAAAAGCCTAGCATTGAGAATGTTCTAAGTATTCTCTCCCAAAATCATCGTTACTTTTTATCTTTTATAAATCACACCAGATGTCATGACACATGACTAGTCCCCCGTTGTAATAAGAGCATCAGCATTGGTGTATCTACACCACTCCTACACCCCAAAAAAGAAAAGGAAAAAAAAAAAAAGAAAAAAAATTTTGAAGGACGTACGCAATTGTGCGACGGTCCCGTTTGTTGTTGCCTCTTTTCGCGGGCCCCACTGACACGTGGCGGCCCGCGATTGGGTTTTCAATATGTTTTTTTTTTTTTTAAATCGTAAAGAAAAAAAGGAAAAAAAAAAAGAAAAAAAAAAAAAAAATTGGGACAAACCTTTGTCGCACCAATGCTGATGCTCTAACACAAGCGTGAGGCAATGCGTTGATTTGATGCTTCTTCACCTGTCACCGTGTCACCTTTTGATTTACATATGTAAATGTAACCGTTGTAATTTTTTGAGAACCCAATAATATAATATATAAGAAAGATGACTGTTGTTGTAAACAGTATAAAGGTAAAAAAGTAACCGTTATTAGTTTTTTGAGAACCCAATCAAATATATATATATATATATATATCAAAACTTGTTGAAGAGAAGGAAACAATCAAACCAAAAATTTCTTTCCGAGAAAACGAACTTTTGCTTATAAAAAAATATCTTTTACCTCAAGATTTTGGATTAATGTTAAATCTCTTCAGAAAGAAAAAAAATGGAAAGAAGAAGAAACAACATTGAAAAGAAACAGAGCTCTTCGTCTTCTTCTTTAGAGAGACTCCTCTCTCCCAACAACACGAAGAAACTATTTCACTCTTCTTTTTGACAAAAGGTAAACAACAACAACAACAACCTCATTCTTCCTTCCTTGTGATTTGTGTTTTCTGGATTATACAGAGAGTTTTATTTCGACAATTCTTCCATTTTTTATTTGATTTTCGAGGAGTAAGTAAGCTTTATATAAGACACAGTTTGATTTGATACACATAGCTTGGGGAAAGGTTCTCTCTTACACGACCTCAGCAACTGCAATCAAAGAGCAGCAACATATGTGGGATCATCACTTCTCTCTACTCATCTCCTTGTGCTTCTCACCTTGGTAATTTTTATTTTAGAGTTTCGATAATGATTTTGTTTCTTCTTTCTTTCTTTCTTATTAATTATTATATATATATATATATATATTTTTTTTTTTTTGCCTCTTACACAGTTAATACCCGAGAGGCGTTGGCCTTTGCTGTGTGGCGTGTTAATGGGATTTTGTCGTATGCGCTCTCTTCGGCACCCATGTCCAATCAGGTATTACTTTCTTCATTTTTTTTATTTTTTTTAAAAATTTGTTCAATTTACCAAAAGTTTTAAAATATTAAAATCAAATGTTCAACGATTAAAACGATTAAAATTAAAAAAAAAAATTTAAAAACTAGTTTATGTGTTAAATTTTTAAACGTTGAAAACAAACTGAGTTTAGGCATTCCTTTGGGCATATGCATTAGCATATCTACGTTGGAGTCCTACATAATTTAGAATAAAAAAAAAAAAATCAAAAATGAAAAAAAAAAGGAAAAAAAGGGAGAGACGTACTTATAATCGGGACGGTCCCGTTTGTTTTGTCCACTTTTCGCGGGCCCCACCAACACGTGGCGGCCTGCGATTAGTTGTTTTTTGTTATTTTTTAAATCGTAAAAAAATTGAAAAAAATAAAATTAGGACCAAAATTAAGTCTCACCAATGTGCATAGTCTTAGGATTGTCCTTTAATCCGTTAGTTTGGTGTTATAAATTCAACATAATTTCGCGTTATATAAATTTAACGCTAAAATTAATTTTTAAAGGTTTTTTTAGACAATAAATAATATTTTAATTAAAATCATTTTAATTCACCAAAAATCTAGAATAATAAAATTAAACGTTAAACGTTTGAAATATCAAAAAAACATTTAAAAACTATTTAAAGTGTTAAATTTTTAAACGTTGAAAACAAACCGAGCTTAAGCATCCAGTCCTTAGGATTATCCTTTGGTCCGTTAGTTTGGTGTTATAAATTCAACATGATTTCACGTTCATAGAAATTTAACACTAAAATTAGTTTTTAAAAGTTCCTTAAGACTATAAAGAATATTTTAATTAAAATGAATTCACCAAAAATCTAAAATAATAAAATTAAACGTTAACCGTTTGAAATATCAAAAAAAACATTTAAAAACTAATTAAAGTGTTAAAATTTTAAACGTTGAAAATATACCGAGTTTAGGCATCCAGTCCTTAGGATTTTCCTTTGTTCCGTTAGTTTGGTGTTATAAATTCAACATAATTCCGCGTTCATATAAATTTAACACTAAAATTAGTTTTTAAAGGTTCTTTTGGACTATAAATAATATTTTAATTAAATTCATTTTAATTCACCAAAAATCTAAAATAGTAAAATTAAACGTTAAACGTTTGAAATATCAATTAAAAACTAATTAAAGTGTTAAATTTTTAAACGTTGAAAACAAACCAAGTTTAGGCATCCAGTCCTTAGGATTATCCTTTGTTCCGTTAGTTTGGTGTTATAAATTCAACATGATTTCGCGTTATATAAATTTAACACTAAAATTAGTTTTTAAAGGTTCTTTTAAACTATCATTTTAATTCACCAAAAATATAAAATAATAAAATTAAACGTTTGAAATATCAAAAAAACATTTAAAAACTTATTAAAGTGTTAAATTTTTAAATGTTGAAAACAAACCGAGTTTAGGCATCCAGTCCTTAGGATTTTCCTTTGATCCGTTAGTTTAATGTTATAAATTCAACATGATTTGAGGTCAGATAAATTTGGAGAATTTTTGAGAAATACCCCTTTTGGTGTACCCCTTTTGGTGTACCCCTTTTTAAAAATACCCTCTTTATCTATCCATTTTTAAAAATACCCCTTTTTAAATATAAAACATTATAAGGTTTTATATAATTTATTAGGTACTTCTATGTAATAACCACTACTGGGAGATTCGATACAAATATTTTAAAATGTTTTAAATAGTTTTAAATCGTTTTATAAGTTTTATAAGGTTTTTAAAAGGTTTTTAAAAGGGTTTATACGGTTTTTATAAGATTTTTATATTTTATTTTTACGCTATTAATGAAAGGTATATAAAGTTTTATACACATATAAAGATAATTTGTGTATATATTTATAAGCTTACACATATATTTGGATAAATTTTAACAGTTTTAATGGGTTTTTTTGATAAAGTTTAAAAATGGGGTATTTTTAAAAAGATGTATATGAAAAGGGGTATTTTTGAAATTCCCCCATAAATTTAACACTAAAATTAGTCTTTAAAAGTTCTTTTAGACTATATAAATAATGTTTTATTTAAAGTCATTTTAATTTTACCAAAATATTTAAAACAATAAAATTAAATGTTTAAAATAACAGAAAAAATAAAAACCAATTTTAAACGTTGAAAACAAACCGACTTTCGGCAGATATCGTTAGGATTTTCCTTTGGTATCTAAGTTTGGTGTTATAAATTTCAACATGATTTCGCATCATATAACTTTAACACTAAAATTAGTCTTAAAAAGTGTTTTAGACTATAAATAATTTTTTAATTAAAGTCATTCTAATTTCACCAAAAGATTCAAAAGATGGCTCTTTCGCGTTTTCATGACGCAATATCGTACCAACCAGTTGCTTAGAACGAATTCCTTGGGCGATGAGGCACTGATCTTTGACGTGGGTATCACTGATGCCCGATGGTTCTTCCCGGGTCTTTAGAGTTAGTTGCTTCGTTTCTTTTTGGTTTTACAATTGTTAGTGTAACTTGCTCATGAGGGAGAAGAATATTTCCGAATAAAACAGAGAGGTTCAACTATGATATCTCACCACCTAAATGATGGAACCTTTGCCACAATGCGTCTTTGATCTTCCTTACCATTCTCCGACTCGTTGGTTCTTCCCATATGGGCCTCTGTTCCTTGCATCCGTAATGCCCTTAGTAATAACCTCTTTTGCAAAGAACACTCGGTTCTGGAAAACGGAGTGGTTCCTGGCTAACCACATGTTCCATAAATTCCACTATTAATTGCCAATACCAATATTCGCCAAATTCATTTAGTTACCAAGCTGAGGATCTAATTAAGAAACAGAGCTAAAATAGAGTCTCCCCCTTTGTCTTTGTTTAAGAGGATCTGAATCAGCAAAACAGAGTTGTCTTTTTTCCCCCTTCAACAGGTGTTATTTGAAGAAATATAATAACCGGTTTAGTTATTGAATTCTTAAACCGAGCTTAATATAACTAATGGATCATAGTATCAAAAGATTCAGAGCCAATAACAACTAAGACATATTTTCTCTCCGTTACGAGGAAATATACAAACATTTTACGTTCAGTTTCGATATTAATTGATGTAGATACAATTATTAGACAGTTTCTCTGTAGATAGCGTTTAGGGTTTCATTAACAAGATCGAACCTTTGTTAATTTGAGCAATGGACCAGAACCAAAAAAAGAAAAAAAAAAAAGCTAATCGTCGGAGACAAAAAGAAGAAGTTATGGGGGTTTCAAACTGGTCGGAGCTATGTCCGGACTTGCTGCGATGTGTTTTCAAACGATTGAGTTTCACATCTCTTGATCGAGCTAAAGCGGTTTGTTCTTCGTGGCACTCTGCTTCGAGAGGCTGCGTCCCTAAACAAAATCAGATTCCATGGCTGATTCTCTTCCCTCCCAACGAGGAAGCCAACAGCAACAGTAGTTGTGGGTTCTATGTTCCCGAGGATGAAGACAAAGTTTACCGAAGTAGAGACCTTGGTGTTGACTTTGCCCGGAGTCGTTGTCTGACGACTTGTGGTAGCTGGCTCTTGTTGTTGAATCCTCTCATGGATCTCTACATTCTCAATCCTTTCTCAGGTGAGAGGATTGATCTACCCGATACTCAATCTTTAAGATTAAGGTACTTAAAATACGTCCGAGCTTGTCTTCGGATAGACAACAAAACCAAATGTTACCTAGTTGTAATGTTACACTCTTGTGTGTTTGCCAAGAAAGGAGATAACAAGTGGCACGACCTTCCTCTCTTGACATTTAATAAAGATTTTGTCTACAATCACAAGGATCAAATGCTCTACCTTCAAGATCTCAGTAATCCATATCTTGTCAACATTTGGGATTTATCAGGAGACCATCCACGCAAAGATGGGGCTGTGTCTCTTGGCTATTTTCGCTTCAATCATTATGATTTTCCCTCTTTTCTTAGTGAAGAAGATCATGAACTCTATTGGGAAAAGTTACGTGGCTCCATGAACCGCATTGTAATCACAGTGTCCGGAGAATTTTTGATGGTATCAAGTATAGTACAACACTGCAAATCGTGGTATTTTCGCATCTACAAGACAAACCATGTGGGTGGCAAGTGGGTGAAAATCAATTCTTTAGGCGATGAAGCATTGATCTATGACATGGGCATCACTGTTATCGCCAATGACATCCCAGGGATCAAAAGGAACTCTATATATTTCAGTAGTCTCGATCATGATAAAAAGGATACTCACCACATCTTTGTCTATGATATCACCACCCAAAAGATGGAACCTTTGCCACAATGCGTCTTCTCTTTCTTACCATTCTCCAATGCGCGTTGGTTCTTCCCATGCTAGTAGTCTACTTGTATCGCCTCTGTTCCTTTTAGTGTTTTAAGCTCAATTTCCCTTTAGAGTTGTTTTATTCGTTTGTTTCTTTCTTTCAATTCTAAGTCCTTATGTTACATTATACTTTCATCTGTTGTTGCGAGTTTAGTCTCACAATTCTCTTGCAGACAGCAATCATCATACTAAATCACCTCTACCAATGTTTGGGAATTCTTAGACGACAAAATGGGTTCCATATGCAGAGGAACTATAAACAATATAAAGCTAAAACAGAGCCATCTTGTGTCTTAAAGAGGATTTGAATCATTACTACACCATGATTTACTGTAAGCTAGAGGAGAGCTTTGTATTTATACTTTTCTAAAAAAAAAAATGGTTCAACACTCTTTTAATTTCGTATCTGTATTAGTAAACAATCTATACCAACCACATCAGGGACCAAACTCAAGGACACTCTCTTGAGACTTTGCTACTCTCTTACATGACTGCACAGACGCATTTGTTCATCTTCGGGTCACCTTTAGGCTTCTTTTCTGTTTCAAACATTGTAAAACAAACAACATATATCTGTCAGGTCTAGAACTGAATTCGATTTTAAAGTAGAGGCTGTTGTCTCTTTGAATATGTAGGAGCTAGAAAAAACGAGAAGAACCGGAAAAAATGTTTTACCTTTTTCAGTAACAGGAGGTTGGATGATAACATGCATTGTGGTGACAGCACCTACGAGATTAGAGACTGGACTTCGGTAATCTTTCACGGTCTTGCTGTTTTCCAGCACCTTCCCTGCACTTATCAACTTCACCTCTTTCACTGTTCTCGGTCCATTCTCTTTCTCTATCATGAGTCAAACACAACAGAACAAAATGTGATCAGTAAAAAGAATTGAAGACAGGTTTGTGGACAACAGAACAAGTAATGTTCCCTGACTAAGCAATCACAAGAATAAGCACAGTTCTAGGCATGGTGATTAACATTCTACGAATTGATCTACTCCAAAAATCTTGTGAAATTTGGTAAGGATAAGATATCCTAGTGGGACATGATTCTCACTACGACCAAACAAACTGTTCCAAGAAGATTCAAGGCTCTACAATCTCAAGACACGGTGCCTAAAGGATGTTAGAATGTAAAAGCCCTAAGAGTAAGCAAAGCATAGAAAGAAAAGAAAAAAAACTGACCTCTTGGCCATTCGGAAATAACAGTTTCCTTCAAAGCCGAAACAGTTGTAGCATCAGGGAATGCTTTAGGACCGATATCCGAACCATCGGTTAACCGAAACTTGATCTCTAGTTGATTATGGACTTCTGCCATCAATCCAAGAACCAACCAACCAACCAACAAACAACCCACAAAACTTTCCCTCAAACCACAAAAAAAAATCTCAAAAGACAGACCACAAAGAGTTTCTCAATTGTATCAGATTCCAAAGAGGAGCTTGTTTGCTCTGTTATCCTATCTGCAATGAGCCAAAAAGGAACAAAGTTTCATCTTCAATAAGTGAAGATGAAAAGGGTTTTAAATATATGGATGATGTTGTAAGCAGAATCTGATAATAAATGAATCACGCATGCAAAACAGCAATAACCAGAGGATACGGAGATAAAAGAAGATTAGCACATAAAGGTTAGAAGATGAAGAAATCAGAGAAATTAAATTAGAAGAAAGAAGAGATCTAATGAAAAGAAGAAAACAGGGGAATCTCCCCCAAAAAAAAGGGGTAAACTTTATTAAAAAAAATCCAGGCCGGAAAAAGAAAAAGCCTTTAATTAGGTCAGGTAGGTCATGTAGGTAAGTAATCTAATGAAACCTTACTTGGGCTCTGTGAGACTGATCTGAGCCGATGAATCAAGAACACGCATCAGAGAAGAGGAGGAGGAGAGAGAAGAGATGAAGAAGAGATCTCGTCGTGAGTGTTGTTGTTGTTGTTGATGAGAAGAATCAATGGCGGTCAAAGCTTCCATTTTTATCTGAGATTCTTCCCATCTATGCGCCTACCATATTGCCCATCTCTCTCTCTCTCTCTCTCTCTCTCTCTCTCTTCTCTCCAAAGCATATTATGATGTATATATCAAACCAAGACGATTCTTTTTATTCAGTAAATTCGATATTTTCTCAAGTCACTTGGAAAGAACGCATAACTACTTACTCGATCGATCCATTTTTAATTCCTTTCCTTATTTTTATTTTTGTTTTTGTTCCAACAATTTCTTCAATACACTTTTTCATTTACAACCTTTTTTTATAATTACTTGCATGTAAAACAGCTTCCGTTTTTGCTTCTTACTTTTGGGACAAAATTACAGCAATTTAACTTGACACATTTTTACATTCTTCGTTTTTGCGCCATCACATTCCTTTTTTTACAGCTGGCCTTTATGTGATGTAATCAAATTTTTACATTCTTCGTTTGGAATGCAATGAATTTTTTTAATTATCCATCCATCAACAGTATTTTATTTTATAGTCATCAAATATTTTATTGTTTCCTTTTTTTGTAAAAGCAAAAAAAAATCAAGTCAGTTTCCATTTTCTATTTATAATATTCTTAAAAATATATTAAATAATAATCTGAAGTAAAAATATGTGGTGTCTGGTATTTACTTCAATATTTTGGATTCAAGTGAAATATAAATTTTTATCTTATAGATTAATGTAGAACGAATTTTTGTAAATATGTCAACAATTCATAATTTTAATTAGATATTTTATCTCAACAATGACATCAAACAGAGAGAGATAGAGGAAAGGGAGATAAGTAAACTGAATCTGCCAAAAAAAACTTCTGCATCAAGAAAAGTCTCATGACTTTGATCCAATAGGGACCTTAACAAAGCAATAACGTCCATATAAAATCTCTAAAACCTAATGAAATCAAATTGTCAAAAAGAAAAAAAAAAATGGAATTTCACTGTCAAAAATCGAACCAAAAAATATATATAAAAAAAGTACAGTTGGAACAAATGCAACAGTCTGTTGTTTGGTCCTTGGACTGTTCTGATCAAGACCAAAATCCAATTTCTTGTCGGGGTGTCCAGAAACCTTTCCTGTTCTTATAACAGATCCGAGTATTGGAATCTTTACTTCAAAACCAAAAAGAATCTCAAAAAGGGTACCTTCTATTTTTACAGAAGAATGAATCTTTTATATCTTTCTCTCGCTTTCTCCTGCTGCTCTGCAACTGGTTTCATTGTCCAGCTAAGATTCTGAGTAATTCTGCAGAACCCACTCTGCTTCAAGACTATCTGAAAGCTTTCTGTTTGCTATTCCAAAATATGACAATTCTTAATGAAATCATTCGAGTAGTTAACATATTTTGTCCAGAAGGGTCTGAGGTGCTCGAAACCTATCTCGAGCCACGGCTTTGATTGACCATTGTAATGTATCACTGCAGCCTTCTTTGCATTTTCTAAGTTGGTCTTGCTCTGATAACCTAACCCAAGCATATGCCAAGACGAATCTATTGGCTGAACATGACCTTTAAATGCTATGAGGGCAGGAGGCAATGTCCCAAGTTTCCACATTGTTAGATTTGACTTCAGATTCTGCACATCAAATCAAAACCAGAAGCAAAATTAAGGATTTGCCAATCTCCAAATCGTAAAACTCAAAATTATTGCAGGCTTCTCTGTTATTTTTACCTCCTTAAGCCAAGAATGATAAGTTTCTCTTATATTTGTCTTCCTCCAAGTCCGCAGATCGAAGATATTCATTCCATAGGCCCAAGCACATTCTTCGGGATCCAAATGCTTTGCAATGAGCGGGTGAGAGAAATTGAAGTAGTTCCTAAGACGCTTTGACATAACCCATACGTCTTCTCCTCGACAAGTCTCCACAGCTCCATTAACCTTCCCGTTAAGGTCAATATCCCAGAGCGGAGATAAATCTTTCTGTATCACTATATCATCATCTAAGAACACTACCTTGTCTAAGTTAGGAAAAAGCTGTCAAAAAAGCAACAAACAAAAATTACATTCATATTCTCTCAATCCCGCGACAGTAAGCCATGCTTCATTTAGACGAAAAAGGCAAAAAAATTGAAATTAAAAGAACATAATCTTCTTTACCTCTGGTAGATATATTCTAAGATGGTTGAGCAAAGATATGTATTTGGGACTTCTTGATTGCAATTTTGAAGCAAATGTTCGAGGAGTTGTTTCACTGAGGTTTGCACCAGCGATATGATTCCCATGGTAATAATCTCTGATACTGTTATGGTTTTCAACAGCTTCAAGAACCGGAACATTCTCTCTTGTTAACCAGTCAAACTGATGAACACTTTTGACTTCAACAATCGCAGGAGCGACAGAATTAAGCGCAAACCAAGAATGCATACCCGCATAGGTTTTCTTGTCTGTGATAACATGGAAGACAATTTTCTCGGGTTTTGAAGATGATTGAACAGCAGATGAGACCACAACCGAGGCAGCCAAGATATTGTCTGTAGCTAGAACAAAATGGTGGTAAGCATTGTCTGAGAGAACAGGGAGAAGCTCCGGGGAAGGAAGCTGTCTACGGGCATGAGCATTGGAGGAATATTCATCGGTAAGTCTTAATGAGAGACAGTGAATTCCTTTTGGGATTGAACTTGCAGCAAAGTGTTTGTTCATAAGTTCTGCAAATTTGGATTCCCTTATATCCCTTTCAAACTTCTCTACCTGTTCAGAAAGAGTAATCAAATCAAATACACATTTTGGATAAATCTAAGATTTAAAATTTAATTGGAGATTAGAAAATGTACCATAGCTCGAAGCACGAGGGCAAATGTTTTTGCATCGTAGTGATTGTTCTTCATATCCGAAACAAGTTGACTAAAAGAATCTGGAAGCTTTAAACCATCTGGAATTTCTTGAGTGCTTACTTCATTTAAAATTTTGTAAAAATCTCTAACTAGTCTCTGCTGTGACAGAGCGTGAGAAAAGGAAAAGAAAAATCCGACTTAACATAATGCTACAGAGAAATCTAGATTGTGAATTCAAACATCTGAAAAGAAGCAATCACTCACCTCTGAATCATCTATCCTACCAAGAAGACGTGGTCCTAACCGCCTCCCAAAACAATCTGTATGGGAAATAGAAAATAAGAACAGGCAAGAAATTTTCATGAGCTCATCACATGAGCATTATTAGGAAGACACTCAAAAAGGGATTTTGGATTGCAAAGCTAAGCATATGAACTACAAGCGAAAAGGGAACAACGTTAAGATTCATCTCATCATTATCTGGTTCTGATATAGTAATACTGTTGTCTATGCTTTTAACTTCACACAGACAGAACAATGGAATTCTTCAAAACTGTCATCAACTTGATAGTCAAACAAACAAGATAACTGAAATCATGAAATCTGAGCTCGAAGCTTGAAACTATATGATACAATTACACCTCAGCTGATACCAAACAAGATAATTTCAAAATGCCAAAAAATTTGTTGACTTAACCATTGGATCCAAACAACTTAACAAGATGCTCATGAAAAATATACTAAAATTTAGCAAAAGACCTAGCTCATCTAACAGCATCTAGGTGTCGAGATCCGAACCATAGAAACAAATCCAAACTAGAATGATTGAAGGAGAAAGAAAAATACCAAAGGAGGAGCACTTGTTGACACCTTCAAGGGTAACAACAGCGGTGAGGATGAAGACAAAAGGCAACAAGAAGGCGAGGATTAAGATAGTGTGGAAGAGGGTACGGTAAGAGATGTGACGAGCTGCGACTTTGATCTTCATCAAATCAATAAACTCATTGCTGCTCGAAATCGTAATGCTTCTCATGCTAGGCGAAATGTGAAGCTGCATCCTTGATCGTGCAGCCCCAGAGTAGTAACCAGATCAATCGAATCGAATAAAACCCTAATTCCACCCAATCCCCAACCAAACAACATCACCTCCCGACGCGATTCCTCTTCTCCGATCTCGATTCCGTATCGATTCTCGATCTATCCTTGTGGGAAACTCCCAAATCCGATGATCCTTTGCTCTGATTCGCGCTTCTTATTCCTTGTAGTCGTCTTCTCTCAGACCGCATTTGGATTTTACGACAGCCAGCAAAAAGTTTCCGAATTTGAGATTCCCGCCGTGTCTCTCTGTAGATTGATTTAAGAAAATTCGATATGAGAATCCAAATGGGTTTTGCTCGAATTCGATATATCAGAAGACAAAGCAATGAGCTTGTCGAAGAAGAAGAAGACAAAAAATGAGAGGAGGAAGAAGAAGAAAAATCAAGCCTTTTTTTTTTTTTTTCCTTTGCCAAGTGATTTCGCCGGTGGATCTAAAACCAAAAAACTAAAAACACAAAAAAAAGGAAAAAAAAAAAAAGAATCGTAATTAACTAAAGATCTTAATTATAAATCAAATCAAAAAAAGGAAAAATCGAAAAAGCGTGTTAAGGATTTGGTGTCTTTTTGACCTTTGAGTTTAGGTTTTTCCTAATTATAGATTTGCTTAATCCGACTTTCATGCCCAAGCAATTGTTTTGCTTTTTCTCATCTTCTCTTTATTTTATTATTGGCTTAATCATCATCTAATTTTGATACACTTTTTTTTTTTGGTTTAGTCTAATTTTGATACATTTTGACATTTGATTTATTCACCTCATCTGACTAAAAATCAAACCAGTGATATATCTGATTTAATAAATAGGAAAAAAAATGAAAAGAAATATTTAAAAATGTTTTTTTAGCAGCTGTTTTTTATATAAATGGAAATAAGTGGCCGCAAAAGAAGAAGAAAAAGTATAATGATTTAGAAAATCCTAGTTTTTATTTCACCACGTCACCTATATTCCTGAAATTAGTCAGAAATTTTACGTGTGATTTTTTTTTTTCTCCTGGTCATTTAATATTATACGCAAATTAAAAAGCATTTTTATTTGATTTCATTTGCCAAACTAGTTTGAAAAGTTTTAGTTATAATGCGAAGACCAACCGACACAAAAAATATGATACGGTCAAAGAAAAGATTCAAGTTTAATAGAAACTGTACCTTCTCTCCAATATAACTCAAGTTTACAGTATAACTCGAGTTTGTCAATATAACTCAAGTTTGTCAATATCATACTACTGAGTTGGCTAATAAAAGGGACAAAGATTTGAACGACCGATTTCAAATTTCTCGGGAAACAAGCGATGGACCTGTTACCATAACACGGCTACAAGTTGCTGTACTGTACAACTTTGAATACCCACCCCATCTGAGAACCAAAGTCTTCTATACGTACGACTACGAAATACAAACCTCAAAGCTTACAAAACAACAGCAATTGAGTTTTGTCAACACAAACAATACCCAAAAACTCCATAAAAGAAAGAGACAGAGACAGAGAGCTTCCTCTTCAATACTCCAGCTCAAACATTCCACCAGTAACCCCAAATCAACATTCACATCGAATCTGAAGGACTCTTCATCATTTGATCTCGTGTGGGTGACCTCTTAAAGCCTGAACCGACGACCTAAATAGCCTTTGAGTCTGCACTTCTGTCTCAACGTTACTGACCCATTAATCTCAGCTCCCCAACTTCCACTGGTTCCTTTCTGCATCTCTTGGTTTGACTTTTGGACTTGTTTCTTATTCTATGAAACGTCTGATGACCACCAAGAGCTTGATAAGTCGAGAAAACCTTGTCACAGAGCCCACACCGATGCTCATTGTTCATCTCAAAACCTTTCTTTCCTGAATGTGAATCTTCAAAAGCAGTTTCTTGACCAACAAGTTTCTCTCCATTATCCGTTTCTTCTCTAAGCATTCCAGCTCGTACCTGCTTCTGCTGACCCGATTCATCGTCTTCACTGGCCTTCTTGTCTGCCAAGCAATCCGAAAGCTTTTTCCATGTTCCATCAGATTCTATGCTAACTCCCACAAGTTTCTTCTGCTCATTACTCAAAACCCCATCTTCCTCAAAGTCTCCATCTTTACTCAAATCCACCTCTGAATTCGAATCCAGAGCTTCAGCAACATGTCTTTGATCATTCCTCAAAAACCCATCTCCATATTCTCTCTGATTCGACGAATCCAGAGCTTTATCAAAGCGTTCCAAACCATTCAAGAACTTTCCACCACTCATAGACAACAGAATCAGAGACTCAGCGACTTCTAATAATTCTCCATCATCCACAGAAACAGGAAACACTGTAAACGAAGAAGAAGAAACAGAGAATCGAGTACTCTTCGTCTTGTACCTGGAAACTCTCTTCGATCTCTTCCTCCTCTGCACAACACTGAAGCTGCACAAGAGACTTGTTCTCATAGATTCTTCTGAATGTGTCACTTGGCGATGAGTCAGCAGACATTTCTCGTAAAGAAACCCTTTCCCGCATTCCCTGCATCGAATCAAACTCTTCTTATTCTTCCTTCGATGAACGACGAGTAGAGATTTCTGGGTTTTCTTAGGGTTCTCCCTCAATCCGTAGAGCTTTTCGTAATGGTTCATCGATTCCCCTACACCAATCTTCTTAGTGCGATTGCTCAACTTGTTAAGGCGTAATTCGAAGATGGATTTCTCGAATTCTTGATGGTCTTCCATTAAAACGCGAAGCTTGTTGGAAGAAGAGATGATTTCGCTCATTACCCAAGAAAGATGACCATAGAATCAACTAAAAGAATCGTTTTTTTCAGTCACCTTTCCCGAGAAAACGCCGGAGACAGAGCAATACCTGAAAGATGCGTAATGCTCTGACGAATTCGGATTATAAAAGAAGTAAAAGAAGTTTTGGTTTTCCCGTCGTTCTCTGGGAAAATGAGAACAGAGAGATGAGTGAGAGAGCAAGTGGAAACAGGGGAGATCAATAAGGGACTGAGAGAAGTGTGAGAACGAGGAAGAAAGGGCTTCGTAAATTGGCTTTAGCCTAATAGAGAAGTGAAAGAGAACTTTTTGTTTCGCCTGGAGGGTTCAACGTGGCATTTTGTGACTGATGTGGCAAGGATTTGAGCTTTCTTTAAACATCAGATGATTATAATTTTACAATTATCAAGAGCAGCACTGCAACAATTATTCCATAAAATACTAAAGAAAGAAGAGTCACAATACAGAAGAAGACTGAAGACTCGGTTGGGTCAATAGCTAATTAACATGCTCAGCTATTTTATTTATTCAAAGAACTTAACCAAACAATTGAAATTAAAGCATCAAACAACCAGACACACCTCTCCTTGTAACTTGTATTTCATCATCAGCAGCAGCAGCACGATGCGGCATATACTAGTGTAATCAGGCTTCGACAGTTTCTTCTTCAGCAGCAGCATTAGCCTTTGCTCGCTTCTCCTTGTAGTCTCTGACCGCTGACTTGATTGCGTCCTCTGCAAGCATACTGCAATGTAACTTCACCGGTGGCAACCTAAGATGTTTTGCGATTTCCCTGCAAATTTAGGAATCCCAAAACAATAACTCATCCATCAAAATATTCAACTTAAAGCATTCACCCTACTTAAATCAAGATCATATCACTAGACTTGAGATATTCCAACAACTGAAACAGAGTTAGATATGACAACCATGTCAATAGATGTTGTTAATGTCTAAGCAACATGAACAAAAACATGCTTTGGCAGATTGTTAAAAAAGGGCACGTACGCGTTCTTGATGGTCAAACTTTCCTCTATGGTTTTGCCCTTGATCCACTCAGAAGCTGAATAAACAGAGAAAAAAAAATTATAAAAATCGAAACCTGCCTACTTATCCCTGACTCTGATGAATCGATCAAAATTGAAAGCCCCTGATTGCAAGACACACCGACGGAAGAAGAGGCGATGGCAGAGCCACAACCAAAGGTCTTGAATCGAGTATCAATGATCTGACCCGAATCGTCGACCTTAATCTGGAGGCTCATGAGGTCCCCGCAAGAAGGAGCTCCTACCAATCCTGTGCCAACGTCAGGGTCATTCCTGTTGAAGGACCCGACGTTTCTAGGGTTTTCAAAGTGGTCGATCACATTCTCGTGGTACAAGCGACGCCCTAACCCTAGAGGAGACGCCCGTAACCCTAGACAAGCCTTTCTCGTCGTTTGCCTTAGCATCATCATCATACTACTTTCTCTCCTTCTCCTTTGCCAGTTTGTTATATATATGGTAAAGAGTGTACGGTGAAACAATTGTAACAATTTTTCTCTTATCGGGAAATTAATAATCATCTTTAGTTTACATCTTCCACAATATCATATAGTAATTACTTATCTATACAATGTTGTAATAATACTTATTAATCTTGAAAATTAATATATTGAAAATGCTTGAGAAGCTTACAAATTTGACGTTAGCTATAATAACCAAATCTAGTCTCTCTCGTTCTAAGTAAACCAACATATAACAAGTATTGGAAAATATCTCGTCAAAAAGAAACAGAACAAATTATTTGATATAATCAAACATATAGAGAAAACAATCCAAATCTTGAGAATGAGAAATTACTCAAAGCTATGCAAGAGCAGGCATGTCCTTGAGCCACTGGTCCAATGGCTTACCAATAGAGTAAACAATAAACCCTATCTTCCTCAGCTTCTCTGCATCAACAACATTTCTACCATCGAAGACAAACGCTGGTTTCTGCATATTTTCAAAGATCCGCTCATAGTCAAGTGTCTTAAACTCGTCCCACTCAGTTAACAAGCAGATACCGTGGGCGTCTTTAGTGGCAGCATAAGCGTCCCAAGCGACCGAGACTTGTTTCACAGTGGTTGGACTCATGGGTTGGAGGTGAAGTGGATGGTCCCAGTCGAATTTGTTCATGGTTAAGTCTCTTTGGATCTGTTCTTCAGTGACTTGTGGATCATAGATGCTGATTCGGGCTTTGTCTCCTAACAAACCTTTGCAGACATCAATGGCTGGAGTCTCTCTCGTGTCTCCGGTGTCTTTCTTGAAGGCGAATCCAAGGACAGCAATCTTTTTGTTGGAAACTGTGTTGAACATAGAGGAGACAATGCGGTTTACAAACCGGGTTTTCTGGTAGTCATTGATCTTGATGACTTGTTTCCAGTATTCTGCTACTTCAGGGAGGCCGTTGCATTCACAGATGTAGACTAAGTTGAGGATATCTTTCTGGAAACAGGAGCCGCCAAACCCGACACTCGAGTTCAAGAACTTGGGACCGATCCTAGAGTCTTTACCAACAGCATAGGAGACTTCAGAGACGTTAGCACCAGTGGCTTCACAGAGAGCAGACATTGCATTGACAGATGAGATTCTTTGGGCTAAGAAAGCGTTGGCAGCAAGCTTTGTGAGCTCAGCGGACCAGAGATTAGTGGTTAGGATTCTATCTTCTGGAACCCACTGAGCATAAACGTCTTTCAAGGCTTTGACAGCTGTAAACCCTTGAGGGGTTTCGCGACCACCGATAAGAACACGGTCAGGATTGAAAAGATCATCAATGGCGGTTCCTTCAGCAAGGAATTCAGGGTTGGAGAGAATCTGGAACTTGATTCCTTTACTGTTGTGTGTAAGGATCTTCTCGATGGCTTCAGCAGTTTTGACAGGGACGGTTGATTTCTCGACAACAATCTTGTCTGAAACGGAAACATCAGCAATCATCCGAGCAGCGCTTTCCCAGTAAGTCAAGTCAGCAGCTTTACCAGCTCCAAGACCACGAGTCTTGGTCGGGGTATTGACAGAGACAAAGACAATATCAGCCTCTCTGACGTGTTTCTCAACATCAGTACTGAAGAAGAGGTTCTTGCCACGGCATTGCTTAACAACTTCATCGAGGCCTGGCTCATAGATGGGGAGCTGGTCGCTGTTCCAGGCAGTGATCCGTGGAACAGAGATATCAACAACAGCAACCTCAACGTTAGGACATTTTAAAGCAATGACGGCCATAGTAGGACCACCAACATACCCAGCTCCAATGCAGCAGATCTTCACCATTTTCTTAATCTGCAAAGGAAAACTTCAAAAAAAAATCAGATATTTGATGTCATGTCAGCATGTCAGATCCGAGAGAATTAGACCACTGTATTGTTGGGGAAACAGAGATGCAAGATAAAGCCTTTAAAAAGCATTCATGTAACAACTTTTTGTGGATTTAACGGTTCCGTAAAGAAATTGAAAATGCATAAGTCATGTAAAAAAATAAATCGCAGATCTGGGTTACATGCAATTGAAACCGGTTTAGCGAATGAGAGCAGAGAAATTATCGTGGTATCCACCCACTAACATAGATCAAACAGAGTGCATAAATAAACCCAAACCGGACCGGAGCACGAAAATATCAACACAAGCATTCGAATAGGAAATTCTTAATTAAAAAAAAAAAAAAAAAAAGGTAGACGAATTCGAGATCCATATCGACGGCAAACAGAGAAAAGTAAACCGAGAGATCAAAAGGCATAATTTGTAAAAAGAGAAGATCTAAGATAAGACCAGAGAGAGAGAGACGGTAATAAAACGTCCCTCCCTTGATCGTACCTTATGGTGGAGTGGCGCTGCGTAACTTTCAGGTTCACACTCTGTGGTGGTGGGATGTGTATTATATGGAATTGCGGGGAAATTAATTGCAGATGGTGTGATGACGGTGTGATCATAAAACCTGTTTATATACCTCTTTATTTTCCGGAAATGCCCCTCAGACTCTCAACTCTACATACTGTATATAACGTGGCTCCTAAACTTTATTTATTACTTTAATGTGCTCCACTTTTTTTTTTATCAGTTTCTATATTCTCTCTAATTAATAAATTATGGGGACTTTCTGTTAAGAACTTTAATTTAATTCATCATAGGTGGCTCACAAAATTTGGCAGTGCTACTAAGTTAGCCGCAGAGCTAACCAACTTTAGACGTAAATAATTAATTTACCTAACATTTTTCTTTTAATTTGCTATTATTTTGGTGTATATTTTTTAATTGTTATAATATGTGCGAGTTACATTACATTAGTTTATTGAATGAATGCGAGAGGTGGAATCTGCAAAAGCAAACTTGAGATCAAAGATGCTTCAAAACCCAGCCACATTTCTTTTTCTTTTTTTTTTTTCTTGGTTTGTAACTTTAAAGTGCTTCTCAAGCTATATATGCAGACAGCCCATAAAGTTAAATTTAACATAAACTATGTTTGGTTGACATATACATAACGAACAAAATAAATAAAGGATATATAATACAACTCCGTGTCAAAAGCCGATGTCGTTTCATTTCATCGATTTGGACTTGTGGACTGGGCTTGGGCCGCCAAACATATTTGACAATCTTATCAGATTCGAGCATTAAAAACAAAAAATGGTTTGAAAATTAAGCAATTAATCCGTCGTGATTACGAAAAATCCAGTAAATGACTACTACTTATTAGCCGTTACAAAGTAGTCGAGCACTTCCTAACAAGTCGCAACGGTCTGATTTTGCAACAATTCCCTCCTCCTCCTCCTCCTCTCTCTCTCTTCTTCGCTATTCACACTTTGAAGACAAAACCCTAATTTCTCATCTCCGATGGCGTCGACGAATCTGAAGAATGCCAAACACGAGGCTCCGGTGATTGATCCGATCACTTTCCAATCCAAGCCTCACGAAGAGGTTTCTAAGTTTTCCGAGAATTCTAACCCTAACATCGTCTCCCAGTCGACTCCACTAGCGAAATCGAGAAAATCTAAGCCTACTCCGGCGGTTTTCTCACCGCGGCACCGGATCAGAGAAAGGAGATTCGTGGTAGTGAAGAAGAATTCTAGGAAGGAGAAGAAGGATCCTGCCTCCGTCGACTGTAAATGCGGAGCTAATCCCAATTCCAACTTGAAGAAATGTGTCTGTGTTGCGTATGAAACTCTGCGTGCTTCCCAGGAAGATTTCTTCAATAATCGAAGAGAATCTGAACCACAGATTGGAGAATCCAGCCGTAACTTGGATGAGGGAGACGAAGATGTCGAAATTGGAGATTCTGATGACATTAGGGTTTCTATGATGAAGAGGAGACGAGAAAAGGTGCTGGAAGAAGCGAGAATGAGTCTCCCTGAATATGGTAAAGTGATGCATCTTGTCAAAGCTTTTGAGAAGCTTACTTGCTTCCCACTTTCAAAGGTTATCTATAATAAGGAAGACGATCACATTAAGAAACCTCTGAAATGGGAATTGCCTGGAATGAGCCAACAAAAGCAGCAGCCTAAGTGTCCACAAACTGAGACGGATGAAGTCACATGGAGCTCTTCGTTTTCTCCATCTGGTTTGGTCTTAACAGCTACGAACCTAGGGCTACAACAGCCTCATGCCCCAGTTTCTTCTTCATGGGACAATAGGTAAACAAATTTGAGATTTTACTGAAACCTTTGATTTTATGCGTACTTAGTTCTCTAATTCGTCTGAGTTGGTGTTTTTGCAGTGTTTCAAGTCTGAACTCAAATGGTGGCCGGAGGGGCAGAAGAAATGTATGTGTTTGATTTGATGCAGCATATGATTGTGTTAATTCTCTTAGTGATTATCTTGCCCAATCTCTCCCTGAATGGTTGATGCAGTTTGACAATCTATTTGTAACAGAGCTTGGACTCCTCTGCTTCAGTGGGAAGTAGAAGATCGAAGAAGAAGCAAATCAAAGTCACTTCTCTGAAACCATTCAAACTCAGAACTGAGGTATAAACTCGGCAAAACAGCTTTAGAATACCTTTTCCGGATCTGAAAGTTATGGATTCATGATTGTTGGTCTATGTCTACCCAACGCAGGAACGAGGACGTATGAAAGAAGAAGAGTTTGCAAAGAAGCTGCAAGACAAGAAATTGGAGGAAGAAAAAATGAGAATCCCCATAGCTCAAGGTCTTCCCTGGACAACTGATGAACCTGAGGTGAGCCCCCATTGCTCATTATTACCATTCTAACAAACCAGATCATTTCTATTTGCAACTGATGTAACGTACATTGGTATTTTCCGGAGGAGTAAAACATAGGCAGAAGGAAACTGTGATCGAAAGGTTGGTTAACATTTTAATGTTTCTCTCTGTTTTCAGAATTTGGTTAAGCCCCATGTGAAAGATATCACAATACCAATAGACTTGAAGCTCCATTCAGACATTCGAGCGGTAGAACGTGCGGAATTTGATTACCAGGTAAAGGATTTGATTACCATCCTTGTTAGAACTATAGACATATCTTGACCGTAATTCTGAGTTATGCATGTTTTAGTTTCTCTGCTAAGACCTAAACTCATCTACACGCGCAGAGTCTTATTTTTCATATATATTAAGCTGATCCTCAGCCATTTGCCTTCACCAGCATCGTATCATTGTATCTTGTATGATAAAATCCAGCATTGTATCAGGTTGCGGAGAAGATAAACCTAATAGAGCAATACAAAACAGAAAGAGAACGGCAGCAAAAGGTATGCCGTATATACATGAGAAGAAACTCCTCTCTCTCTGTGCTTCTTATGTAATCAAATATGAAAGAATGATACACTGTTTCGTTTCTTCAGCTAGCAGAAGAAGAAGAGATAAGAAGGTTGAGGAAGGAGTTGGTCCCTAAGGCACAACCAATGCCATACTTCGATAGGCCATTCATTCCCAGAAGGTAAACAACAACATTTTTGAATTGTGCTTTCTTCTTGATAGATAAATGAAACATAGAAGCATCAGACAGATCAAGTGTTTTTGTTTCTTCTTTATAGGTCGAACAAACATCCAACTATTCCTAGAGATCCCAAGTTTAATATACCGCAACACAAGAAAATAAGATGCTGCAGTACATCGTCTTGGAGTGACACTGGATCTTACATGAGCGACCTCTTGTACCAGCAAGACCTCTGATAAAGCTTTACGTTCAATTTGCACATTTCTTTAATAATCTTGTTCCTTGTCCATATCATCTCTTTCAAACAAAACCTTAATTTTTCCTTGAAGCAACCAATTAGTTGCAACTTGCAAGATTTTGTTTTCTCGGTTCAATCTTGTGTAAACCACTTTGCAAACTGGCAAGATATCACGCGCTATCTAAAGGCTCAACATGCACAAGTTATTACCTTTACTGATCTGCTTCTTCTATTGTCGGTGGGTTTTAGAATTTTTAGTGTCAACTCCTAAGTGTCATTGGCTTCCATTACACAATGAAGAGGTACGATTCGACCATAAACATAACAAGATGATTACAGTTTGCATTATTTCAACTTGGTTACATTAAAAGACTCATCTAACCGGATAGAACTTTCGTTTTGTTTGTTCTCACAGACTCGGACGGAAAACACCAAAAAGGAAGAAGACGTGAATTTAGTCCAAAGCCACCACCAAAATTTTTAAAATTTTTGACCATTATGAGTGCAGTCTTCAGCAAGAGATGATAACAGTTTTTAAAAGTAAAGATAAACACTAAAAGCACAATGGACTGAAAAGTAGTAGAAGAACAAAAAAGAACATTCAGATCATCAAGGTTCAACTGCAATACGGCCAGCAACCTGGTCCAAATCCCGTTGGCCACTGGAAGTGATTCTTCTTCCTCTGAAAGACAAAACAGGAGGAGTGTTACTATTAGCATTGTTCAAAGATATCTACAGAGAAGATGTTTAAAGGAAGTGGTAATCATGTTACCCTTTGGTGTCGAGTTCAACAATGTTCATTGTCTCCAACTGCTGGAGGATGTGACGGGCAATACCACCACTGCTTTTGCAGAAGTGTGGTGGGCGACTACCGTTTCTCTTGCTGCCTCCGTAGATTCTTCGGAAAGCACCAACACCAAGACCTCCCCTAAGGTAAACCTTCCTTGCCATAGATGCTGCACAACAAGAGTTTTCGTCAGAAAACTTTATATGCATTAAGAAATACAGAAACAAGAGGAGAGGAAGAGAGGTTACCAGCTCTGATGTAGTACCAGTCTGGATCATATGGGGCAAGCTCCTTCAACTTTCCAGTCTTCACAATGTCGGTCCATGTGGGAAGCTCAATCTGATATCAATAAAACAGGAAGCTAGTAAAGATTAAAATGCAATTACAGTAGTTGCCAGCTTCATTGAATTCAAAAATCCTCAACAGAGAATAACATTGTGGATTCTAAGCATTTGGAACATACTAATACAGAGTATTCAAACTCACTAAAGGTGTGACTAGAAACAATTACTAACATTAAAATTGGGAGTTCAACTATAGTTATCAACAGATACAAATTTCAATAGATTTAACCAACATAATAAGATGCCAAGAGAAATACACAAACAAGCAGTTAATCAATAGAAAACTGTAACAAAAACTGAAATTTGAGCTTAATATACAATCTCACATTTCTCCGTAGGTTAAAAATGATATTTGGACAACCTCAAAAAACACTAATAATAACAAAACACCCAAGAACGAGCAAACAAGACAAGTGTGGGGACTTGTGTTAATTCAATTCAAGAAAAAAAATTTATGATTTCAGAATTTAAAGCGATAACAAAACAAAATCTTGGACCATTTCTACTCATAAACGAAGGAAGATCACTCATCCACTAACCTTGCCAGATCGCTTGAGATGAGAGGCGTAAGCCTTGACGAAGTCATGGGGTGAGACGTCTTTCACAGTTTTACCAGTCGCCATAGCTAAACACGGGAGATTAAGAAAGCAGTGATCTTCGTCTGGGTTTCGCCCAACTCTCTCTGTCTGTCTCTCCGCAAAGACTAGGGTTTTCAATCTCCATTAACAGAGCGTTTATATATGCTCACTCGATTTCGATTAGGGTTTTCTCCGAATCCGGGTCGGACCCGTTCTCATGGGCCAATCATCTTCACACGGCCTTATTAGCTTATTTATATTTAAGAAAAAACAAAAACAGTAAACACTGTCGTTATTACATGTGATAATCCGGGCTTACAATAATGGGCCCAATACGGCCTTTGAAAATTAGTTGACAAGTACTATATATTAAAACGACATCGGTTTAGACAGTGTCTAAAAATGTCGTCGTTTTATAATCGCATAACCACTGGCTATTACTTCGCATCTCGAGTCGTCCCTGCCATTTTTGGCTTTTCAATCAAACCCTAGAGAGCAAGAGAACGAGAGAGAGAGAGAGAGAGAGAGCAAAGAGAAGCCATCATCAGAAATGGCGATGAAGAATCTACTGTCCCTAGCTCGCCGATCTCAGAGGCGTTTGTCTCTGAATCAAGTCACACGATCCTCCTCTTCGTTTTCAGCTATCGATTCGGCGCCGGCTTCCACATCTCCGGCGACCCCATCCCCGCCGCCGCCGCATCTGATGCCATACGATCACGCCGCCGAGCTTATTAAAAATAAGATCAAGAAGCTCGAGAATCCGGATAAGAGGTTCCTTAAATACGCATCGCCAATTCCGATCCTTGCTTCCCACAATCACATCTTGTCAGCTCCGGAGACCCGTGTCACCACCTTGCCCAATGGGCTCCGAGTGGCTACTGAGTCCAATCTCTCGGCCAAGACCGCCACCGTTGGAGTCTGGATCGACGCTGGATCTCGGTTCGAGTCAGATGAGACCAACGGCACTGCTCATTTTCTGGAGCATATGATTTTCAAAGGCACGGGGAAACGTACTGTGAGGGCGTTGGAGGAAGAGATCGAAGATATTGGTGGTCATTTGAACGCTTATACATCGAGGGAACAGACCACATACTATGCCAAGGTCATGGATTCGAATGTGAACCAAGCTTTGGATGTGTTGGCTGATATCTTACAGAATTCCAAGTTCGAGGAAGATAGAATCAACCGGGAACGAGATGTGATCCTCAGGGAAATGCAAGAGGTATGTATATATCTCTGTACTTCAATACTAAAACTTTTCCGTCTGTTCTCGATTTATCTCTGCATTGGCTTAAGCACATGCTGTATAGACTGATTTTATAGTATGTTATATGTTTTCTAGATCAATACCGTCAGTTTCAGTTTCTCGTGTGCCTAAAAATGAAAATTTTATTCTTCACAAATCTGCCTCTTTTTATACTCACATGTTTGATAAAGAGATGTTGTTGCGTGTTCTTAGACCAATGCTTTTTATTTTTCAGTTTCCCGTGTGCCTGAAAATAAAAACTTTTTTCTCTTTTTTGGATTATTTGTTGCACTTTGTTATTGGCTTATTCCTATGTTGGTCGTATTGTTTTTGGGCATTGTTGCATTAAGGGAGACATTAAGAGTTATTTGTTTCTTCTTCCCTCAGTTAAAGATAGAATACACCCTAAGCTGTAGGTTTTTGGTAATTGGTTTGGCCGTAGGTAGAGGGACAAACAGATGAAGTGGTTCTTGACCATTTACATGCTACTGCATTCCAATATACACCCCTTGGAAGAACTATTCTGGGGCCTGCTCAGAACGTTAAGTCGATCACCAGAGAGGACCTACAGAACTACATTAAGACTCACTACACAGCTTCCAGGATGGTATTAATTTTGGTTACCTCTTATCATTTCTTGCAATCTGCTATTGAATTTGTTAGGATTCTTATGTTGGCTTATCCAAAATATATTCAGGTGATTGCTGCTGCAGGAGCCGTCAATCATGAGGAAGTTGTTGAGCAAGTGAAGAAGCTATTTACCAAGTTGTCATCTGATCCAACATCTACTTCCCAACTGGTTGCCAATGAACCTGCTAGTTTTACTGGTTCTGAGGTAAGACACAACCTATATGATTGTTACTTTCTATTATGCAGTATTCCTTCTTTCTTAATTCTTTTACCCTTGAAATTCTTGTCAGGTCCGAATGATTGATGATGACCTACCCCTTGCACAATTTGCTGTTGCCTTTGAGGGAGCATCTTGGACAGATCCAGATTCGGTTGCGCTTATGGTTATGCAAACCATGTTGGGTTCTTGGAACAAAAATGTTGGTGGGGGAAAACACGTGGGGTGAGTTTGCTCTCTTGCAAATACTTATAGCCATGGATTCAAAGAATAGCTTTATTGCAATGTGTTGATGAGCATTATCCTTCTATGTGCAGTTCTGACCTGACCCAGAGGGTTGCCATTAATGAAATAGCAGAAAGCATAATGGCATTCAACACCAACTACAAGGATACTGGACTGTTCGGCGTGTATGCAGTTGCTAAGGTCAACCTAGAATTCTATAGCTAGCTTAGCTGTTATCACTTTGTTGAATTACTCGATAAAATCATATTCATCTCATGAATATTTTATCTCGTTTAACATATTGTAAGCTATTTTTTCAGGCCGATTGCTTGGATGATCTATCATATGCCATTATGTATGAGGTAACCAAGCTGGCCTACCGAGTTTCAGACGCTGATGTGACACGTGCACGGAATCAGGTTAGCAACAAACTGTGTTTCTCTCTTTCTCAAGATTCGGCTTTTGCCAGTTACATGATGTGATCTCTTTAAGGCTTTTAATTTCCTAGCTGTTTTTTTTTTTAACTTATTACTTAGTTGTATGTAAATGCCAACTGGATTTTTCTCTGCAGCTGAAATCGTCATTGTTACTTCACATGGATGGAACTAGCCCAATTGCTGAAGACATTGGTCGTCAGGTATGCCTTGAATATTCTAAGCAACTTGATAATTAATAAAAAAATTACTGGTTTAGAACTGCATTGGTCAAAGATAAGCAAACCTTATCTTTGCTTGCTTCTCTCTCCTTTTTGATGAAGTAGCAAAGTCATTTTTCTAAAACGCATAAATTCTTGTGCTATGTGCAGCTCCTGACCTATGGGCGTAGAATCCCAATCGCTGAACTCTTTGCTAGGATTGATGCTGTTGATGCCAGCACGGTAAAACGTGTTGCCAACAAATATGTGTATGACAAGGTAAGTCATATCTCTCTCTCCCTCTCTATCCTCCAAGAATAAAAAAGAGAAGAGATCGGGGGTTTAGACTGCTAAACAAGAGTACAGCACCTAAGTTTTGTTAAGTGAATGCTTTTGGGATTATGTGCAGGACATTGCGATCTCAGCCATCGGTCCCATCCAAGACTTGCCAGACTACAACAAGTTCAGACGCAGAACCTACTGGAACCGTTACTAAGGCTCTGAAATAACAGTCACAGAACCACAAGATTTGCCCACGGGGAGATTCCGCAGGCGGAGAGAGCAGAACAAAGCTATGATGGATTCATTATTTTTGAGTTTTTCTTACTGTATCTTCATAATTTCCCATCATCGCTGGTAAAATAAGTGTACCAATTTACTCTTTATCACCCTCTACTGGAAAATGCTAGAGATCCTCTGTTTTAATTTTTTGTTCTCTTCATAATTTTCCCATACACACACTAATAAGTTGTTGGAAATTTGAATTGTATGCATTTCATTTCTTCCTCTCTTTATTCCGTTTGCAAAAATCATTGATGTATCAAATGTATTTATTTATATTCCTTACAAACATTGTATTAACATACATGCATTGCAGAACTACTGAAACCTTGTCACTTCACTTGTGATTTGATCCAGTTGACAAATTTATCAAGATTCTCATAAGAAACTCCATCTTTTGCAACACTTTTCATCACAATCTCTTTCATGATCGTAGCTCGTTTTTTATACTCTCCATCCTCTCTCATGATCTCATCGATCTTCTTCTTCACCTCTAACCTCAGAACCTCTCCTCGTCCATCTCTTTCAAATCCTAATCCAGTCTTCCATACATCGCATATGTATGCTTTGTTGATAAATTGGTCTGCGAAATAAGGTATGCATAAGAAAGGTATGCCATTTTGGGCTCCTTCCAAAGTTGAATTCCACCCACAATGACTCACGAAACATCCAATGGCTCCACAGGAAAGGACCTCCCGTTGTGGTGCCCATCTCACCACTTTGACACGATCGGACCAGAGTTTGATTGGTTGTTGACCACCGGGACCGGTGACCCACAAGACTGGCCTATTGAACCAACATAACGTAATATATTAGTTAATAATAACCACACAGCGCAAAGCCGGTTAAGTTCAAACTTTTACCTCTGGGTAAGCTCTAGGCCAGTTGCTAGCTCATCTACTTGATTGTTGCTGATAACTCCATAACTCCCAAAGGCAACATATATCACCGAACCTCGAATCTGCCGGTCCAGCCAATCCAGACAATCCCGGTCCTGAGATAAAAAGCTTCCTAATGACGTGGAAATGGAATCCTCTTGAAAACAATGAGCCAACCCAATGGGACCAACTGGTAATATATGTGGGTACAATCCAAACGCTGCCGTTTCGAGTTCATACACGGAGTTACACAGAAACCAATCCGTTAACTCAACTGTCTCATTGTTTTGAAGCATAAGTTGGAATATGTTCCTTTGAGATTCTCTGTTCTTCAGACAAACCCACACAAACTTGTCTGTTTCCATCATCGGCATCCCAGGAGATAGTTGAATTGTCTTATTTACACTCGAAGTCCCTACGTAAAGAAACAATATATGTAAACTTTTAAGGCATCAAAACCGGATTGAAAAGGGATATTATTCTTACCATCAGTATCTATGAGACCATCATCGATTAGTTTTTGAATACTAAATCCAAGAACCATAGACGCAGCCGCGGCGGGACAAAAAGTGGCACGTCTGATCCCAAACTTAACCGCAACTCCGATGGCCCATCCCAAGCTCTGATCCGCTACAACACAGCTTATGATCGTACCACCGGCGATCATCCTCTCGATCAGTTCCTCCACTTTGGTAGGCATAAAACGCAAAACCGATTCAGACAACTTCCCTGGAATGTTCCTCTCTTCCGGTGAATCTTCTAAACCGTCGGAGACCGAAACAAGATTGATGCCATCCGCAACATGAGATGAATTGGATAAGGAATTGATGATGCAATTGTGGTTAAACTCGGTGTTTACGAATGTAGTTAGGATTCCTTGTTTTGCAAGGTAACCTGAGAAACTCAATAGAGGAAGAACATGACCTTGTGCTGGATACGGTATGACCACAACATGTGCCCTTCCCATAATTTTTTTTGTTTTGGAGTTATCATCCAAATCAAAGGTTTTTTTTATTCATTTATAGGGAAATTTATAAAATGAAAGACGGGATGAATCGACAACGAATTCTAATTGATTTTGTCGTTTCTCTTAGGGAATCAAGAATAGTTAGATCCCAAGTTTGAATTGAGAGAGCAAATGAACTTAACTAGTTTATTGTAGTTGTAAATAAAGAAAACAACAACGAATACATTATCTATTAGGACTACAGTATTTAAGAGTGTTTGATTATGAAAACCAAACAATTTGGTTCTGAATATAACTTAAAAACCGAACCGAATCTAAACTTTGTTAAAATAGTATTCCAGTATTATAATTTCAGGAAAATCGAAACTGGATCCAAACCAAGGCAAAAAGAAATTAGCGAGTTTTGTTTTACGGTTAGAGTTTGTTTAAGAAAATTTCTCTCCTCACTCCAACCGTAAAATTTTTACAAGCAAAAGAAATTTTGTAAGACAATATCGAAACTAGAAATTAGAAAATTTTTACTATCAAGAGAAACTAAAGTTTCCTAATTTCGGTATTGTCTTTCCTAACAAACTTTCACCACCATGAATGATCTTCTTCGTAGTTGGCTTAGAGAGAAAGTAAATGGACTAAACGATCATAGATTAAATAACTCAGACATTAAATAGACTAGGTTTAATTTAATACCCATCTCATAACCCAAACTTTACATTTTCATCTTTCTCGGGCATGATTTCAAATGTTACAATCTCTCTCTCGATCTCTCGATCTCGACTTAGAAATAATATTTTAGTTTCAAGCTTTTGGAAGTGGCTTGCCACTCAAGAAATACTTAAAAAGCTCAAGAGCAACACGTGGCTTGAACAATGGAACCTCGTGACCTGCCCCTCTCACCGTCACGAACGTTAGTCCTTCGTACACTTCCGTCCATCCTCCCACCTAAATCCACAATTTCTTGATTAAACCGGTGATGATTACCAAAACAAACAAGATTAGGGTTTTTAGAGGTTTACAAACTAGACATTACCTGTTTCTTGACATACCAAGGATACCACGGAACTTTGGTACTCAAGCTAAGTCTTGCAAGTGAGTATCTAGTAGCCGTCACTGGTACTACTGAATCTACGTCACCACTGAAAACCCAAACTCTTATCCCGCCGGCAATCATTTCCCGGTATATTGGAAGCACCGATGAATCTGTATCGTTCCAATTCCGGTTTAGCACCTCACTGCCACCAAAATAACAACGACCAATTCTATTTAAAAGACCCGAGTTATATTATCCAACATAAGTAATCATCTTAACACGATCTCTAGTTTCTGGAATGAACCTGCAAGCTGTCCACTTGTACGGAATGTTAGTGGTGTTAGCATGTAGAGCTTTCTGAACATCAGGCCGGTTGTAATAGATCTCTGCATATCTCTCGGTACATGGATCATACCCTGATATTTTCCTCCATACCTGCTTCCAATAACCGTAAAACGACATTTATTCAAATCGAGATAACCAGTAATTTAAACAAGTGAACCGGAATCAAACCAGAAGAAACAGAGGAGATAAATAGATAGATTCTTACGGAGTGAGGAAGGTGAGGGAGCCGCATACTCCGGCGGCCGGAAGAGCCAACACCACCGTCGCTTGACTTGTTACAGGGGGGTGCGTAGATGTTGTACTGATCGATGTTACCAAACTCCTGCTCCATGGCGTAAGAATAAAGGGTTTCGCATTCATCAGATTCCTTCTGGCGACTAAAATCGCAAGTGTTTATCAACTGATGGTACGTCCTGTCGGAGATCATCGCGTGGCTCCACCAATACGACACCGTTCCCAGGTTATCATAGTGATTGTCCGTCACCGCGTTTCCAACCTATAAAACGAAGAGAGATGTTCAAAAATTCGATTTTTTGGTAACGGAAGAAACAGAGGATCTTGATCTCGATAAAGAATTACCATGATTCCTTTGAGGTTGATGGGAGTCTTGGACCGTTTGTTGTAATTCATGATTTCTCTGGCGAGCTGTGGAACGTAATGTCCGGCGTAACTCTCGCCGGTGATATAGATTTCCCGGTTGTTGTATCTCGGAAACCGGCGAAGCCATTGAACAAGAAACTGAAGCGAGTCTTTGGCTGCAGCAGCACAACACACATAGAAACAGAGTCTCAACAACCGGTTAAGTTAAACCGTAGAGGGGGGGTTGGTGTAAAAAATAATTACCGGTACGGCGATCGCCGGTGTCGAAGAGATCAGAGGAACGGTTAGTGTAGGAGAAGCCGACGCCGGCGGGAGCTTCGAGGAACAAGAGATTGGAGAGAGAGTTCCAAGCGAATTTGTTGAGATACAAAGCAGACCCACCTTTGCTTATCCTGAATGGTCCAATCTCCTCCGACGCACCGTACGCTACCGAGGAACATCCCGGTCCTAATACATCATATATACTATTAAATTTATTAAATAGAGAGAGTCATTTATTTATTTTACCCCCAACGCTAGAAGGGGAAAAAAAAAAGAATGATAAGAGGTTGAGAAATTTATTTAATAAGTGAAGAAAAGAGACCAAGAGTTAGTTGTGTATTCAATGTTAGTTTGAATATTGCATTTAATGTTATAACTTTTTATCTAGCAATTACAACGATTAATATTTTGTTTATTTATATATATATACGTATCTAACTAGCAAGCAAACTACAACCATCTTCTATTGAATGCATTATGCATGTATGTATATATATATAGATGTATGCATTATTGTGATGACAAGTTGTATAATCTAGACACATCATAAAATACACATAACAAAAAGAGGTTAATCGATATTATTTGAGAAATATGGGTGAGTAAGTCTCCTCCAATAGTAGTAGTTAGGAGGCATTATTCTCATGCTTCATTTCAGTAGGCCAAACCCAAATATAGTAAATTAAAATAAAAGAGATATATATATAAGTCCAGTTTCATGGATAACGAGTGGTTTTAGAAAATTATAAATAAATAGAAATAAAACATTTATAAACGGATTTATTGCATACCCATTCAAGAAGTGTGACAGAGATTTTTATAGTTTGGTCTGCTAAAATAGATCTAGTTCTTATACTGTTAGCAAGGAAATAATTTTTTTAGAAAAGTATTTTCCAAAAAACAAAGAAGCTTAAAACAATTGGACAAAGACGAATGAGAAGAAACAAAAAAATGTTGTTTGGTAAAAAAAAGGGTCACCTCCGTTGAGCCAAATGACGAGAGGTTTGGAGAGAGGGAGGTGAGAAGCTTCGGTGAGCCAATAGAAGAGTGATCTTCCGGAGGGTTTATCGACGGTGACATAGCCGGAAAACTGCTCGAACGTGACGTTAGGCTGACCGGGAAGTGACGTGATTCGGTCTGCCTCTGCTTCTTTCTCTCCTCCTTGTGTTTGAACTCTTCCTTGAGACGTCATTACAAGTATGGCCATGATGAGAGTGATGAAAATTACACGTTTTGCCATATTCGCCATGGCCAGAGGAAGAAGAAGGAGAAAACAAAAGAAAAGAAAAAAGAAATCTTAGAGTGTGTCGGAGACTTTTTGAGATTGGCTTCGCTACAGTTCTTATCTTTAGCCTCTCTTAAATAGGGAGAGAGAGAGATAAGCCGAAACGAGGATAATATTCAAATTACATAATAATAATAATATAGTTTGGAAACAAATAAAGTTATTAGCATATATTTACTTCAAAATTTTGAAGGGAAAAAATAGTTTTTGGCAGTTTGATTAGTACAATTGACTAAAGAAAAAGTGAATGCTTAAACTCATGTGGTACCAATTTCCATAGTTTGTACTGTTGCATCAATATGTTTTTAAATTGCATAATATAATCTCATCAATATATTTTATTATAATCGTAGATGTTATAATGCTAATGTTTTGTCAAAAAATATTTGCACACACCTACTTCTATAGTTATTTTTTTTTACCCCAAAACTAGACTTGCTTGCTGTTTTTTATTTTTTTAAAATCGAATAATCTAAACTTGATTAAATCAGGTACGTATCTTTCATTATTAGGTTGGAAATTTATGTTTCCAAAACCCTCTATAAAAGATAAATAATAATAGCGAAAAGTTGGGTGATGGTAAGGAAAAAAATAAAATAAAAAAATAAAGAAAGGGAGAACCAAAATCAGCAGTAGTAGTGACAGTAACTTTATGAAAATGGAAGAAGAAACAATGATGACTTCAATGACACCACCAGCAGCTTGTAATAATAGTAAATACGTTAATTTTTGATATGACAGAGCATTTAAATCAATCGTGTGTGTCCATATATACATACATACATACATACATACACCGCACAAGTATAACCACATCATTTGTCTTATTATGATATGAATTAGAGATGCCTTGGTGTTGGATAGTAGTAACTGCGAATTGGTTTCTGAAACAATTTGTTTGTGCATAGTTTTGTATATATGAATACTAATAATATGGGTTTTCCATTGAACCCCCCAAACAGGAACTTATTCAATGTCCTCTCGACATGATAGATATGAATACATATACAACTTTATTTTTCTCTAATACTACATGCTTAGTAGTTTCAATTAAATTCGAAACTGTATGAACAGCCAAATTAATTTCATCAAACATAAAAAAATTAAAATGTTCTACATAAATATATATAGGTTTCTCTCTCTCTCTCTCTCTCTCTATATATAGTATATGTTAGTAAATAAACATATATATATAATGGACCCATGGAAGAAATTGATGTCTCGATGTTAGAAGAAAAACCAAAAAGTATTCTATCTTTACTGATCATAAAATACCTACAAAGGCTACCAACTTTGACCATCTTTTCATAAGTCACTGCAAATACATTTCCCCCCTTTCGTATTTACTTATATATAAACTTATCACAGTGAATTTGTATTAATTTGATCCTTATAACTTTAAAAAAAAAAGATTAGACAATCGCATTTAAGTATGGACCTTTATTGACGACTACATAACGCAACGCATTCATGTATATATTTATGGATGCTATCGAAAAAATGTTAAATAATCGGCTTAGCTGTTCAATGTTAGTAATATATACAGTAGTAGTAACTACAGTATACATCATTTACGTACACGCGAAGTTACTGGAGAAGGGAGAAGCCATTCAATGCGTCACACCATTTCATTTCATTTCATATATATATATTACACTGCTTCGCCCTCGTCGTATCAACAACAGCCATGACACCCTTTTTTGGATTTATACATTATTCATTTTAAGTTACATTCCGACTATTACTCAAAATATCAGCACAACAACCTAATTATAACATCATTGCTGATTTTCTCTTCTTTATGAACAAAAAAATCGTGATTTTAATAAAATATAAAGTAACTTATTTGGTTGTTCCGCGTTTGTGCTGTTGTTGTGTTGTGAGCTCTATTAAGTAAGGCCCTTAATTTGGGAAGAATCTGACAACTGCTTTAGAAGATTCTATTTCCGTGCTTAGCAATTTCTTTTTTTAATTTTCACATATATTTTTTTTACTTAAAAAAACATTCAGATTCGCTAATAAAAAGTATCACCTACGTTATATGGAAAATATAATTTGGAAAAATGATTTTAAAAAAATTATGGGTATTTAAAGAAGTGCAGGAGTAGTAGTTGGCAAATGAGATAGTAAAGACACATAATAATGACTCTTTTCGTATCCTCTTGTATGAATGAATACGCAGATCATCACATTGTTAAAAAAAAAAAAAAAAAAGATGATATGATTAGTAGTAGTAGTAGTAGTAGTGAGGTGGAATAGTGTTAAGGTCGTATCAAGAAACTTTTGCTTACGCATATATTTTGCTTGTCCGAACAGATTCAGAGTTTTGTGTCAGCCTCCTCTTTCTTCCTTCTTTCTTCCTTGTGTGACGTTTCTAAGGACACCAAGCGGTAAATCTCTGCTGCCCCTCTCACGTGCTCTTTACAGTCTCCCTTATGTCACCCTCCAATCATACGTCTCTGTTCCTTCCTTCCTTCTCTCTCTCTCTTTCGGCCGCAAACCTTTTCTCGACGACACCTCTATTGGGCCTGGCCTCTTTACAACGCAATTCATGGTTTTAGACTTAATATTAAACCCACTACTAAAGAGACAGATGTTTAAACATTTCTTTCATATTTGAGTAAGATATATATTTGGGTCACTAAATTGGAAAAAAAATCTCCTTAATAAAACTTATATGGGAAAAAATATTCTAAAATGTTAGTCAAAGATACAGAAGTTTTTAAAAATACACATTACTTTTTATAAAAAAAAAAAATACAAAACGGTCACTAATCTCATTGTGGAAATAAAATGTACAGAGACTTTTAGATAATGCACAAATCCGACCGTTGCGACTAACGGTCATGTTCTCAGCCAACCAATACACCCACATATAAATGAAACGTAGACCCAAATCCGTCGTCACACTCAGTTTTTTACCTCATCATCTCTCTCTCTAATGGAGTCGCAAGAACCAACTCTCGAAACGCCTATCAAAATCCTATCCGACGACCACCAAGAAACCACCGCTTTAAGCCCTGAATCTCCGCCTCTAGAATCTTGCCTGAATCATGAATCTCCTCGTCGTCGAGTCTCCTCCACCAACGAGCCAATGAAGAAAATCGGGACTCCCGATCGTCTAAGAGTCCCTATAGCTTTTAAGCACCCAGAGAGGTATTTCGGTTTACGTTAACTAACCGGTTCAAACCATCCTCGATTGTTACTTAATTTTATTTTTCTTTGCTTCTTCTCAGGTACAGAAGCCCAACTGATGCAATGATGTCTCCAGTTACTAAAGGTCTTCTTGCAAGAAGCAGAAAAGCTTCTGGTTCTCTTATTCCACCTAGCTTTAATCAAACCAAGGTCAATTTCTTTATACCAACTCGGTTTTATATACATGTTTCACCCAATTGCTTCTTACATTATATCGGTTTAGAAATGAACTAACTCTCTTCATTTAAACAAATTTGTTTCAGATTCAAGAACTACGCAAACCGGAATCCGGTTTATCTTCTGTCAGTTGCTGATGAAGAAACTGTGAATTTTTTGGGTTGAACCGAATACATTTTTGCATGTGTTCTTGGTGGTTTATGGATTCTTTTATCTTTAATTTTCTCAAACGTTCAAGACCGAGGTTAATGTATTTCTCAATTCTTATGTTCGCGTATAATAAAAACAAAATTAAGATTTTTTTTTTTGGTAATCAACAAAATTAAGAAATTGAGTAAAAACATTGGTTTCCTATAAAACAAAAACAAAAACAAAATATATTTTACTGTTTTTCTGTTCTGTAAATAATTATGCTCAAAAAAACTTACAGGGTTTTTAACAACTGTAGTAAGCTGTTTTATTTCTTTTACAATATTATTAGATGGTCTTGCTAAAAATAGAGGTGAGTATTGATGATTCATCTTCTAAATCATGAATAACACATTTAATAAAGAACTAAATTAAGGTTTTGTCTTAATGTCTCGTTACTAACTTCGTTTAACTGAACGTAAAATACCTCTAGTTTAGTCCATTATTGCTTAGACAACTAACAACGAACAAAACAATAAAACAAAAACTTCATTCAGACTTGTATTTTTGTTTGTTACTCTTGTTATTTCTTCTGTTGTTACGTCGTATAAAGAAAATAAAAAGTCCCTCATAAGTTTCAGTCTAAACCTTCTCCCTATAATTCCCAGGTGTGATTCGATCAATCTCTAATCTTTGTTTTATACAATCATTCGAAAACAGAGCGCCTCTGTTTCTTTCTTTCAATTAGGAGACAATGGATACAGAAATTGGAAACAAAGAAGAACAGTGGAAGAATTCGGTTTCTTCCTTTTCATCATCACGATCATCATCGATAACATCTGATTCTTCAGATGGACACTTTGATATCCGACACTTTCCTCTTCCCAAGCCATCGCTGTCGGCACAGAAACTGAGAGAGTCACATCAGGCTTATGATCCAAACCGTATTCCATCTTCGGTTTTCTCTAGCAAACCGGGTAATTCGGCGGATTGGAGCATAGCTTCTAACGAATCCTTGTTTAGCATCCACGATGGGAGTTTTAACATTTCGACAAGGGAAGATCATGGATTTGCTGCACCCTTGAGGTTGGCTGAGATACCGAGACTCGAAGAACCAGCTCACGAAATCGACCCGGTTCCTATTCCGCTTGCTCTTCCTCCGGTTAAGAAACCAGATGAATCTGTGAAAGAGATTATTGCAGAGGAGGAACAATACCAGGTGGAGACCTCAGACTCTGAGGTCGATGATAGCGAAATAGAAGAGAGGAGGGGTGAAGTCGAGAGCGATGATGAACACGAAGAAGAAGAAGAAGAAATGATAGAAGCAGAGGTTTTGGTGGAAACTGAAACCAAAATTCTAGAAAAGAAGGAAGTAGTACAAGTTGCGAAGGAGAATCAACCAGAAGACTCCAACAGTATAGTTTCACATTCCCCGAGCATTTCTTGTCGTTCGGACACCAGCACCAACAGCATTGGCTCTTTCGCATTCCCACTGTAAGTTGTTTGACATGCGAAATATTGATTTATAGATGTTTTCTTGGGAAAGAAGAAACCTTTGAAACCCTAACATACTTTCGTTGGAATTCATGTAACAGACTGCAAAAAGAAGATGTACTTATCAAAACGCCATCTATGGAAATCAGAGGGTATCAGCTGACTCAGTCGCCGGTGCTACCTCCCCAACCACAGCCCCAGCCGCAGCCTTATTCAGAATCTGGTACGCTAACTGAGTTGCAGCCGGAATCACAACAACAACAACCACAACGGAAGGCATCCAAAAAAATGGAGTCTCGAACGCAATCGCTAAAAGCTTCGAGAATCGGTTGGTTCTCTTGCTTCCATTGTCCTTCAAAATGCGGTTTATTTAAGTAGACGATCAGATTTCTAGCGTTTGCGTGCGAAACATATTCTTCTTCTTCTTATATGTGTATGTAACTTGTAATTCAAGAGTGTTAACCAAACCGACTTCCAGTTTTAAAGATTGACACAACATTTTGGTTCGGTCATGTTGTAAACCGGCTGATGAATGATACAACTCTTATGTCATGGTGATGCGTACAAACAAAGGACCACAACATTTCATTATTACGTTTATTATTATTTTTTTGGTAAGATTACGTATTATTATTATAAGTAGTAGCTAAAAGACAGATATAATTCAATAAAAGTTTCTTTTTTTTTCCTTATAATTATTCATTGAAAAGTATTACTATAAACTCAAAACTCTTTTTATCCCCCATAAAATGTTGGCTAATTTGTCTGCTGTGTATGACAACAAATTATAAATATTTAACAATATTTTTGTTATTCAACTAGATTTTGATCCGCGGTACACCGCGGCTTCATTTTTTTAATAAATTTTTTATTTTAAAATATGTTTTTTATGTTTGGGAATGTATATTGATATATAATCATAATATAGTTTGTGTTAAAAATATTTTAATTAAAAATATGTTTTTTCTTGGGAATGTATATTGATGTGTATTTATATACGTTTTTTTTTATCTACCATACGACTTTAAAATTAAATTTAGTAAGTTCATGAAAACTTGTTTGCTAGTAAAATTAAATATTTATCATTCTGTTCTTAGATAACTAAGTGGAAGCACTTAGTATATATGTGATTATAAAGTATTGCATATTGTTGGGTGGTGGGTTAACATTTTTAACCGTGTAATTTTTATACATTTATTACGATTATTAACCGGTTTAACCGGGACTTGTGACACGGGGGAAAAAGGTTGGTTAGATGCGTGAAATTAAAGAAGTGTAGTCAATTTTTTTTCCTCTTATCTCGCTTGTCTTCTTTTCGTTTCCATTTCTATTGTTTCCAATAATATACAATCGAACAGTCTTTCAAAGAACACTAATCTACACATACAGACAACTAAATCCTTTTCCGTTTATTAATCGGCCAGATCCAAGATCTATTAGTTTCTATATTCTATCAGTTTTTTCTTCCTATTGAAGCAGCTGATTGGGTACAATATCTCTTACGACGATTCTGATCCAGACAATCGGGCAAGAAAGCAACATATTGAGGTAAAACAGTTCCTGACTTCTATTAATTTTGTATATGTCATCCTTTATGTGAGGATAGTAATAGAATTTGACTCCAATCAAGCGGTGCCGATTGGGTGAACAATTATTGTTGACTATAAAACCTTAATCGAGTTTGGGTATTTTGATAAATCCTTTCTGAGTAGTATAAAAAGTGTTTCAGGTTTACGGAATCAATCATTCACTATTTGTATACTTGTTATGAATGTAGATGATGTTGTTTCATTCAAGTTTTTGTTAACAAAGTGATTATGTAGAACCTGTAAAATTACCATATATATGTAGAGATTGTGTCGTTTGGTCAAATGAGAGTGTATAAAGATTTGGATACTGATGTGTTCACCATCGCATATACTTCAAATGGATTAATGAGTGTTAAATTTCGTATGCGTTCATATTTCATTTCAGTAAGCAAATGTATTTTCTGGAGTTTTATTCAATGGAGGATATTTCGTTTTGATGGAGAACAGTTGGACGTAATGGAGGACACGTATAGTTGGGCTTAATGTAAATGGGCCACTTAATTGTTTTGGCTTCTACCAGTTACCGTAAATTTGTTTTGTTTAATTTTAAATAAGTAAATACAGTGGCAGGACCTTGTAAATAAGTGAGCTGAATGAGAGTTTTTTCATAAGTGTCTTTAAAAATGTTAATATAGATATATATATATATATATATACACATCTTTGTCACATGCATTTAATGTATTATTAAATTTATCCATCAGTAGGAAATATATTAAGTGCTAGATTATGAAGTTTTTCTGATTACAAGTTAACTGTGAATTATATATATATATATATATATATCTGTAATAAATGTGTAGCTTCAAGATATTAGCATAACATTGGTCGATGAGAGAGTGATGTATATAATACACTAGGAGAGTTGAAATATCGTTATTAACATATTTTTAAGCTCATAATATAATTATAATAATAAATATATGTGACCTCAAATTTAGTGATATGATAATCTCTCGCATCTACCTACTGTTATCAATCATGTACCTATTGCGATTTGATGCTTTGAGTTTAGAGACTACAATGTTATTAGTGTTTTAATAATTTTATAACATGATTTTATTTAAGTAACTTTTAAATTTAAATATAATCGAAATTTGCTTATTCGAAGCTCAAAAATAATAGATTGTTAGCCAATAGGAAATCAAGAAAGTGGGCCAACTACACTAGAAGATTTTAATTTTCTGGATAAAATTAAATAAATAGATCTTAAATAAAACATTTAGGATATTTCTTTAACGAAAAAAAAAAAACAGAGAGAGAAGAAAAAAACGCGTCTTCCTCAGTGACAGTGTTGAATTCTCATCTCTTTCTCTCTCTCTCTCCTCTCTCTGCTTCATCTGTTTCTCTCACTAAAAGCTTCTCCTTCATCCTCCAAATTAGGGTTAAAGGCTCGGTAACTTGGGATTGTTTCGAACGGTAAAAGGAAGGATCTTTTGCTTGTCAATTGCTAAATTAGCAGACTTTTGCGAGGTGGGTTTAGGGTTTTTGTGTAACAAAACATTTTAGGGATAAGTTACGAATATGACTTCTTTGCCTTCTTCAGTGATCAAATGGCGTTTTTTCCGTAGACAGATGCCTTCACACGTTGTATTCTCGCTCTGGTTATTCTGTTTCGCTACCTGTCTATCCGGCAAAATCACTGTTTTAGCTGATTCGGACAAATCGGTGTTGCTTCGTTTTAAGACAACGGTATCGGACCCTGGTGCGCTTCTCGCTAGCTGGGTTGAGGACAGCGAAGACTACTGCTCCTGGTTTGGTGTGTCTTGCGATTCGACCTCTCGAGTCATGGCTCTCAACATTAGTGGCTCTGGAAGCGATAAAGGGAGTTCTAAAATCAGTCGAAACCGTTTCACTTGTGGTGATATTGGTAAGTTTCCGCTGTATGGATTTGGTATTCGGAGGGATTGTACCGGAAATCATGGAGCTTTGGTTGGGAATTTGCCTTCTGTAGTCGTCGGCCTCACAGAGCTTAGGGTTCTGTCTCTGCCCTTCAATTCGTTTAGTGGAGAGATTCCTGTCGGAATCTGGGGAATGGAGAAGCTTGAAGTTCTTGATCTGGAAGGGAATTTGATGACCGGGTCATTGCCTGTTCAGTTTACTGGGTTACGGAATTTGCGGGTTTTGAATTTAGGGTTTAACCGAGTTTCAGGCGAAATCCCTAATTCGCTGCAGAATCTGTCCAAGTTGGAGATTTTGAATTTGGGTGGCAATTGGTTGAATGGAACTGTTCCTGCTTTTGTTGGGAGTTTCAGAGTGGTGCACTTGCCGTTAAACTGGCTTCAAGGCTCTTTGCCTAAAGATATTGGGGATAACTGTGGAAAGCTTGAGCATTTAGATTTGTCTGGTAATTTCTTGACTGGGAGGATTCCAGAGAGTTTGGGCAAGTGTGGCAGTTTAAGGTCGTTGTTGTTGTATATAAATACATTGGAGGAGACTATCCCTTTACAGTTCGGGAACCTTCAGAAGCTCGAGGTTTTGGATGTTTCTAGGAACACTCTTAGTGGTCCATTACCTGTTGAACTCGGTAATTGCACTTCCTTGTCTGTTCTCGTGCTATCGAATCTGTACAATGTGTATGATGACATTAATAGTATTAGAGGGGGAGCGGATCTACCTCCAGGCGCTGACTTAACCTCGATGACCGAGGATTTCAATTTCTATCAAGGAGGTATTCCAGAGGAAATCACTAGGCTTCCGAAACTAAAGATACTTTGGGTGCCAAGAGCTACGTTAGAAGGGAGATTTCCAGGAGATTGGGGTTTTTGTCAAAACTTGGAGATGGTTAATTTGGGTCAAAACTTCTTTAAAGGCGAAATTCCTGTTGGTCTTAGTAAATGCAGGAACCTTCGTCTTCTTGATTTGAGCTCAAATATGCTAACGGGAGAGCTTCTCAAAGATATTTCTGTCCCTTGTATGAGTGTCTTTGATGTTGGCGGAAACAGCTTAACGGGTTTAATCCCTGAGTTTTCCAACAATACCACAGCCCATTGTCCTCCTGTTGTTTACATCGACCGGTTTTCTATCGAATCTTACAATGATCCATCGTCGGTATATCTCTCCTTCTTCACCATGAAGGCTCAAGTTGGAACATCCCTGATGGATTTTGGAGGTGATGGAGGTCCGTCAGTGTTTCATAATTTCGCAGACAACAACTTCACCGGTACTCTCAAGTCTGTACCACTTGCACAGGAGCGGTTGGGAAAGCGAATCTCTTACATATTTTCTGCTGGAGGGAATCAGTTGTATGGGCAATTCCCGGGAAATCTGTTTGATAAATGCGATCAACTCAAAGCTGTTTATGTCAATGTAAGCTTCAACAAGCTCTCAGGTCGGATTCCTGAAGGAATAAACAACATGTGCACGTCTCTTAAGATTCTTGATGCTTCGTCAAATCAGATCTTTGGGACAATCCCATCAGGTCTTGGGGATCTAGGCTCGCTTGTTGCTCTAAATCTGAGCTGTAATCAGTTGCAAGGTCAGATACCGGGAAGCCTAGGGAAGAAGATGACAGCTTTGACATATCTTTCTATTGCGAATAATAACCTCACCGGGCAAATTCCTCAGAGTTTTGGTCAGTTACATTCCTTGAGTGTTCTTGATCTCTCTTCTAATTATCTATCTGGCGGCATTCCTCATGATTTCGTCAACTTGAGGAATCTCACTGTGTTGCTTCTCAACAATAACAACCTCTCTGGCCCAATCCCGTCGGGTTTTGCTACATTTGCTGTTTTCAATGTTTCCTTCAACAATCTGTCAGGTCCACTTCCTTCAACCAACGGACTGACGAAATGCAGCACTGTTAGCGGAAACCCCTATCTTCGACCTTGCCATGTGTTTTCTCTGACAACGCCGTCTTCGGATCCCCGAGACTCCACGGGAGATTCTATCACGCAGGACTATGCATCTTCGCCGGTTGAAAACTCTCCATCTCAGTCGTCAGGGAAGGGTGGATTCAACTCGCTAGAGATCGCCTCAATTGCATCTGCTTCAGCTATTGTCTCGGTTCTGATCGCTCTTGTGATTCTCTTCTTCTACACTAGGAAATGGCATCCGAAATCGAAGATCATGGCCACTACGAAACGAGAAGTCACTATGTTCATGGACATCGGAGTTGCAATAACCTTTGACAATGTTGTTAGAGCCACAGGGAACTTCAACGCGAGCAATCTGATTGGAAACGGTGGATTTGGAGCGACCTACAAAGCAGAAATATCCCAAGATGTGGTTGTCGCAATCAAACGCCTCTCGATTGGACGGTTTCAGGGTATCCAACAGTTCCACGCAGAGATTAAAACTCTTGGTAGACTTCGACACCCAAACCTTGTGACACTCATCGGTTACCATGCTAGCGAAACTGAGATGTTCTTGGTATACAACTACCTCCCAGGAGGCAACCTTGAGAAATTCATCCAAGAAAGATCCACAAGAGATTGGAGAGTTCTTCACAAGATTGCTCTGGACATAGCTCGTGCACTTGCTTACCTCCACGACCAGTGTGTCCCAAGGGTGCTTCACCGAGATGTTAAGCCGAGCAACATCCTACTAGATGATGACTGCAACGCATATTTATCAGATTTCGGGTTAGCGAGATTGCTTGGGACATCGGAAACGCACGCAACGACAGGTGTGGCGGGTACGTTTGGGTATGTAGCTCCAGAATACGCGATGACTTGCCGAGTTTCGGACAAAGCAGATGTATACAGCTACGGAGTGGTGCTTCTAGAGCTGCTTTCAGACAAGAAAGCACTGGATCCGTCGTTTGTGTCGTACGGTAACGGTTTCAACATAGTGCAATGGGCTTGTATGCTGTTGAGACAAGGACGGGCAAAGGAGTTTTTCACAGCGGGACTGTGGGACGCAGGTCCACATGATGATCTAGTAGAGGTTCTGCATTTAGCGGTTGTTTGTACGGTGGATTCTCTATCGACGAGGCCGACGATGAAGCAAGTTGTAAGACGGTTGAAGCAGCTCCAGCCTCCGTCGTGTTAGGATTAAATTTTTTTTAATCTTCTTTTGCACTCAGTTGTAAACTTGTTTGTGTAGTCAGTCAGTCGATAGATGAAGAGAGGTAAATTTTCCTATTGGTTTCTTGAGGGTAGAAAAGGACATTTGAAGGCATAGGAAGGTTGATTTCAGGAAGCAGAACATAATATATATGAGAAAAGAGCACTATGGAATTGTGTAGCTAAATTGTTTTTCCCACTTGTAAATGGTTTATACTTTATATACGTAGTAGTTTTGCTCTTTTGTCTTCAAACTTTAAATTTATCAAAGCTCGTATTTGCTGCAGATATCCTTTTGTGTGATTGTAGTAAAATACGTGACATCCTTTTTATCACATGTCTCTCTACACAACTAGACCTCTTGAACGTGGGATGCTCAAGGGATAGGAGAAAAAACAAAGGTTATTACTAGGCCTGGGCAAAAATCCGAAATCCGAAAACCAAACCCGAACCCGAACCAAAAACCCCGAAACCGATCCAAACCCGTTACTTACAAATATCCGATAGGGGGCTACTGTCTTGGTAGTTTGGGTTTGGGTTCGGTTTCGGTTATATCCGAAAACCCGAACATACCCGAATGTATATATACACATATTATATGTACATAAGATACATTACCTACTGTACTAGACTATAAGTTATACAAACGGTTGAGAGACTTGGGCGGTTGCGTTTCCCCTTTTTTAGTTGCAGTAAGATCACTAAATCTTCAAAGTTTTTCTTCTTCTCCTTCTGAGATCTCGAGTAATCCCTTTTATTTGCAGCACAGTTTGTGTTTTTTTGTTCTTTTTCTAATTATTAGGTTCAAGGCTAGTTTGAAGTTGAATCTCTCTTTTACTTGTTTCATGGATTTGTGTTTTTTTTTTTTTTTTGAATGTAGGATTTTATGGATTATGTATTATGAATTTTAGGACATAGTTTGGTTTTTTTCTTTTTAATGATAATGGTTATTTTGAGTGCATAATAACCGAACCGAACCCGAAGTAATCCGAACCGAACCCGATCCGAACATATAAAATATCCGAATGGAGGCTTGAAGTTTACAACCGAAAAACCGAAAAACCGAACAAACCGAACCGAACCCGAATGGACATCCGAACGCCCAGGCCTAGTTATTACTATGTGTTGTAGGCTTGTAGCATTGGATGATAAGGTTTATAAATCTTATTGGTACAGATACTCTTTGTTTCAATTTAAGGCCCAACAGTAAACAGAAGACGCAGGCCCGTTTTACCCACAAATTTGAAAGAGAAAAATCAGAGAGGAACCCTAATTGTAATTGAGATCGATATATCGGAACTCACAGCGACTTCTCTACATGGATTTCTGATTCGCAGCATCTATAGGGGTTTCAATGTATTTGTATGATCCGGCAGAGGAGTGGGCAAGGAGAAAACCCGTGATTGGAAGAATACTATCTTCAACATCTTTCGGGAGTGTCGTACATATACAAGACACAAGACAAGAGGAACAAGAGCAAGAATCACTCTCTACAACTAACTCAAGTCCACTCTCTCTTCTACTCAGTATCATTGTTATATGGAATACGAGAATGCTCTTCAAGGGGTCAATGCATATACAACCCCTAGTCTAGATGTTGGAATCAAATCCGTTGGGTTCATTCTTCTTCAGTTTCAACTCAAAAAAAATGAATGAAATAATATATAGTCGTCTCTCTATTAATTAGATGGGATTATCCCTAAGCAAATGAACTACAAGGAAGAAGAAGGCAGCTTAACAACAATATGTTTAAGAGGGTTTATCGTAACATCATCGTCGCTGACGGTGCATCCACCGTGCCTAACGAACTCCGCCGGAGAAAGAAAGCTGCCGTGGCAAACACAGACTATCTTGACTTCCTCCTTGTTCCCTCCGTACCAGTATAGGAACCCTTCCACTCGTTTCCCGTCGGCTCCGACATCTCTCGTCGACACGCACGGCATGTCTTCTAGGATGTTCCTCGCCTTCTCCATTCCCGAAACTTCCGCGTCCTTCTTCTTCTTCTTCCTCGCCGTATTTCCAGTTTTACCCTTCTCGTTGACCGGACCAGGGACGACAAACCCATCTTTTACTTCCTTTTCCTTCGTCGGAGGGATCTTGAATTCCATAAACGCCCTAGCCTTCTCTTCCTCTACCTCGGCTCTGTTTTGATCTTTGGACAGAGGATGAACCGGAGATTCCATAAACACCCTCGTCTTCTCCGATCGCATCCTCTTCCTCTCTGTCTCCATCTCCGTTACGACAGGAAGCGAGCGCGTCCGATCCAGCTGGAACATGTCTTCAGCTCTACGCTGCATCATATCTCCGCCGGCTGATCTTAGCTCATGGAAGAAGAAACCTTCGGGTATGGAAGAAGATCGGGCCAGTTCAAAGTTGTTCCTTTTCCTCGATCTCGGATCCGTACCAAACTGTCCATTAAGGGAAAGACCTAACGTGAGCTCGACATCTTTCTCCTCCTCCTCTGCAGCTTCTTCTTTCTTCTCACCACCATTCTGATCATCAGAGTGATCTCGTTGACAAAAATGGTTGCTTGAGATGAAATACTGGTGCAACAGTTTCGGGACCTGAACGACGCCGTTGGGGATCCCACTACCTCTTGTGATCATCTCCATTAATCAAAAGAAAGCCCAGAGACAATCGAAAGAGAGAAGGGGAGAAACGTTATAATGAACTTTCTATTTTCGATCTTGAGAGAGACGAAATAATCTTCTTTCTTTTTATTTTTATTTTTACCTTAAAAACAAAAGCACCACCAAATGCTTACTATTATAAACTATAGTACTGCAATTTGCAGTATTTTAATTAAAATTTGCAAGGGGGGGAAAAGAAAAAGAGAAAAAAAGAAATCATGTTTAAGACTTTTAAGAATTATATCACAAGCATAGTTGACGATGTGTGTGTTGTACGGATTTTCACCCTTATAAAATATTCACACAAGTTGGCTTACTTTTTTAAAAATATATACAAACTCATAATTCGTTGATACGGATATGCATAATTGAATTAATATATATATAATCAAATGAAAAATAGGCAAATAGCTTAAGTGATTACTCGTTGACAGACATAGGAATGATAATTGGGATTTCATTCTTATTAACAGTAATTAATTAATTATGCGGTGGGAAAAGAAAAAAAGAATAGACGACCACCCACCGCGCCACGTGGAAAAGAGAAGGCATCATCGAATCAAGTGGGGAGAGAGAGATACGACCGCAGAGGCTTACTTGCTTTGTTCGTCAACAACTTGACACGTGTCTAATAATCAACGTGCTCAACCACGACAGTCACTTTATTGCCACGTGTATCCAGCCTGACCGGGCCCAAACTTGAAAACACTTTTTTTGTTTAGAGCTTTTTTACTCCTCCTCCTACTACTTCCAAAGTTCTAATAATTCTCAAATATTTTGTCTTTTTTGGTTATTTATTCTAATCCACTCTCTGGTGATAAGAATTAATGTTGTGTTACGGTATAAATTTGATTGTAAAGGAGAGGAATAAATTCATAGGATTCATTCATTCTCCTGAAGAGACGCAAACAAACAGCAAACCCCAATCGAGAGATGATGATGTAGAGAACAGATCGAGAGGGAGAGAGAAGTGGGACACGCATCGACCCATAGTGGCCAACTTGTTAGTATTTCTTTTTTTTTAAAAAATTTTTGGGTAAGATTCAAAATCTCATCAAATAAAAAGGTGATAATTAAAAAAAAAAAAACAAAAAAAAGGTGATAATATTAGTGACACGTTTCGCTTTTCTAATACGCCACGTATACCCTTCTTTTACTCATTGCAAACAAGAGACAATATATGTATAATGTAACCCAACTTGCATGAGACATGATGTTTTTTTCTAAATACAAACTATGCATTATAGTCAAGTGTCAACAACAACCGGCTTTGGTCTACCTTTTTTTACTTCAAGACGAACAAAAAAAACCACAAAAGAATTTGTAGTCGTTGGGATATATAGGAATGTTAACACTTTTTGTCCATTGGGCTTCTTTTTTCCCCTCTTCACAGCTGGCCCTCTATATTTTTTTCTTGGCCCAAATTTATGATCCATGACAGTAACACTGAAAATCTCTCGTACAAGTAGGATGATTCCCATGTACGTACGTACACGTAAAATAATCACATATATTGTGAAAGTAAACAAGGTCTGCTTACTGCGGCCATCTAAAGCCTAAAGGCCATATTATTATTATGTTGGGTTACTATCAGTGTGTATCTACGGATCTACCATATGGACTGAGCGAGCATAGGGATTGGTGTTTCGGATAGGAACAGTACAGTACAGATTTCAAATAATTTTTTTATTTTTTTTATAAAAGTGTATCAAACAATCGGAAACTGATTCATCCGCATGCATTTTTCTTGGACACCAATTATTTTACATCGAATTCATTTAAAACTTATGACCTATAATTCATATTGTTGTGTAGTCGAGTCAATTATATTTATAGGTTGCGCGCGATTTAATTTCTCAAAGCAGATTAAAGTTAAACTGTTGTGTTACATTTTCATGTTGTCGATGATCTATAGACCAAATTTAGAGACTTGTGTTTCATTTCTAAACGACTAATTAAGCTTTCTAGCAACTATACATGATATATCTACGTACATGCATGTAGATTAGGGTATCAATTAGTGGAGTCATTGATTCAATCAAGATACACTAGCTAGAACTGAATGTGAGATTTGCTGGCCTGTTTGGGTATATATATACATATACCATAACGAGATCCAAATACAACCAAAACACACAGATATAGAAAGTAATAAAGATGTTCACTACGGTATTGGGGTTATATTAAAAGAGGCAATTAAATCGTGACAGGGAAAAAAAAAAAGTGATAGGAAAAATTGTTGGGGGGGACCATTGAGTAAATAACTCTCTTTCTCATCTTTCTGTTTTCTTCAGTTTTCTCTCTCGAGATGCCCAAACCTCCTCCTCTCTTCACTCCTTCTTCAGCTACTTTTTTCTTAACGATCGAGAATACTACTACCGTATATAACTTAAATTACATCATAAATACACCATTTATATAGATATATAATAAAATAAAAAAATACAATCGTCTTTTTTTCTTGCCTCTGAAATTTTCATTTATATATAACGGATCTTTCAGCTTCTAGCTTACCTATATGGCTATATACAATAATCAAATATATTATTAGCTTACATATTTTTTCACATGCGCACTGCATATATATTGACGTACGTACGTTTCGGAAAGAAAGTGTCAATAATGTTCTGGAATTATTTACTATATAGTCGTATATATGATCATATATAGAATCTAGAAATTTCTATCTATCTACATGCGCGCGTATATTTATATAGAAACGTGTTTTGTAATTTTGATGTATAAAGATCTCAAACTCATCAAGTGGAAGAAACTAAATTGTATACGTCTCGTAATGGCATGCGTACCGACGGTACTAGTATATGCAGATCATTTGAATATCCACGCCGTCCTAAATTAATGATATGGTGTTCTCTCTTTGCAATATCCACGTAAAGTTAAGTTGTCTTGCTTGCGCTCTAGCTGATATTTTACGCTAATATTAATAGCTACGTATAATAAGTAATAACTATATAGAAATATTAAACTTTTGACAAAGAAATATTAAACCTTTAACGTATATAATTGGCTTCGTTTGGAATTGGATTATACCCAACTTTTTTTTGTTTTTGGGATATTTATTGTCGTTGATCCTTCGCATCATTAATTATTACTATTGATGTGAAGTACTTATTGAAAAGCTATTAAAAACCCAATCTTTGTTCATGAGACCACACACTTTTGGAGTCGGTGAAGTAGACATGACTTAGTGGATTTTAAGTTTGTCCGATTTCTCCTTTGTTCTCATGTAATGTCTTAAGATGAAATGATCATCATCACACCTTTTTTATTCTTAGTCCTTTGTTTTGATTCATAAGGATATATTGCTTTCGCCCACTTCTATTTTTTCAATTCCTACCAATATTCTTACATAACTTTATTTAAAGACGATGTACGATTTTTTTTTTAAAAAAGTTAAATTTGATGTTTCCGATTCATATGTAATTAAATTGTAATTGAGAAAGAAAAAAAGGGTTGGAATATTATTGTGAATGGATAAAATGCACACTTATAAAGACAATCATGTGGATACCTAATATGACCACTTCTGTTTTTTCATTGCTTTGAAAATCTGAAAGAGTCTCGTTTCTATATTTCTTAGAACATTAATATACTTTGACGTAAAAAAGAAAGAAAGAAATAAATTTTGACAAGTTTTCAGGGTTTATATTCCCTTTAATATTCATTTCACATGTTGCTCATATAGAATTTCGCAAATGGATCAAAATATATAAGAATATAGCTTGCCAGCAGATATTTATAATATATATATATATATATATATATATATATATATATATATATATGTATATATATGATAATTAATTAATTTCGAGGATTATAATTGACCAATATTTTGTGTATTTCAAATAATGTATGCACATTAATTTGTTTTTGTTTTTTTTTCTTGGGAGTCAAATGCCAATTAACTATTTTTTTAATAGATAATACAGATATAGTGAAATGTCATTATTATATTACTAAATTCAATACATATATTCCAAAATAGGACAACCGATAATTTTATATACATATCACAAGCTACACACAACCTTTATATGCACACAGCCTTTTGATTCTTAAACAAATATGTACGTTAAGCCGGTTTTTATGAAGCAAAAGTAAACTAGGGCTTAGTGATGTCTAATTACATGTACTTGTGTTTTGTAAAGGCAATGAGTCGTGACTCAACAAAGTACACGAGGCGTGCATCGGGTAAATTCACAACCTTTTGTAATTGTCGTTATGACTTATGACAGCATGGCCATGCACATATATATATATACATGGACCAAAATATATAAACCATTTATGTGAGTTGCATTTCATACAGTGAATAATATAACTTATAAATGTTAAATCAATAATCGTACATCATCCCTTTCATGACACTTATTATTTTCATCTTAATTAAAAACATTAGTTAGCTGTTCTAACAAGCTAGCTATTATATATAACTTGACGTCAATATATATATATAGAGAAATATATGTTTAATGTTGGTATCTACAATTTCTTTTAAATTTGGATATTCACGTATACTAGTTTGGGGTTTTCTTCTTAGCCGTATTCTAATCGCAACTCATAATCACATGATACGGACGTGGATGCGATAAAAATATTCGGGTTTTATTTCTCGTCCGTATAAATACATATACAGTATAGAGAGATTTTGAGTCTTGAGATAATGAGATGATCCATAAATATTAAAGATGAAAATGAACTCGACTGATTGATTATTCAACGCATTCATTTATTTATTTTTCCGGTCGAAGATAGCGAAATCTTACCACGTGGCATTATTACATCCATTGCTTTTTTTCTTAACATAAATACTTAATACTTTTTAGTCGCAATTCTTCTAAATTTTGGAGGCTTCTGAATTCTGATATTGGTAGGGTTCTCATATTCACTTCCAAAAGCATCTTCCTTTTTTTTTCTTTTCTTTTTTATCTTTCAATTTCATTTTTTTTATTCATACTTTTGAAAAGAAAAAATTCGAATCACATACTTTCTTCTTTCTATTATACTCATCCTTTGTTCAGTCCCTCTTCTCATTTCATCATATTATAATAGTATAGCAAAACCCTAGATTTTCTCTGTTCAAGCTCAAGACCCATTCGAACTTCGTTATTAAGGTAAGAAACAGTACATGCTTTATTTTATTTTTATCCCACCTTAACTCAGTCGACTGAAGAAAAAAGAACAATTAAACCCTAATCTTTTTTTCATGTTTCAATTTTGTGGATTCGTTTATTTAAAAAAGAATTCAGAAACTCGAAAAAATATATGAGATTTCGAAATTCAAAACTAATTTGTCTGATAAATGAAATTCTTCTAATTTAATTCCTTTCAATATATGTTTTCTACTAATTAATGAGATTTACATTTGATCTATGACAATATATATATATAGCATTATGAATATCGTGTCTTGGAAAGATGCAAACGACGAAGTTTCAGGCGCCCGGGATACGAGAAGACGTGAAGGAGACGTCGAAGAAGATAAAGAAGAAGAAGAAGCCCAAGTCAGAGGCACCGGTGGCAAAACCGTAATTACAAAGCCGCCAACCTCTTCTTCTTCTTGGATGAAATCCAAGGATCCGAGGATTGTTAGGGTTTCACGCGCCTTCGGAGGCAAAGACCGTCACAGCAAAGTGTGTACGCTACGAGGGCTACGTGACCGACGCGTGAGACTATCAGTCCCCACGGCTATTCAGCTTTACGATCTTCAAGAACGCCTCGGCGTTGACCAGCCTAGCAAAGCCGTGGACTGGTTGCTTGATGCTGCTAAAGACGAGATCGACGAGCTCCCTCCGTTACCCATCTCGCCGGAAAATTTCAGCCTCGTCAACCATCACCAGTCTTTCTTGAATCTTGGTCAAAGGCCGGGTCAAGATCCGACCCAACTCGGGTTTAAAATCAATGGTGGTTGTGTACAAGCTGAGACTACTACTACCAGTAGCCGTGAAGTAAACAACAAAGAGAGGGGAGACAACGATGTCGTTTTCACAAACAATCATCATATTGGCTCTTACGGAACTTATCACAACATGGAGCATCATCATCATCACCACCACCAACATTTGAGTTTCCAAGCAGATAATCATCAACTACATAGTCTTGTCCCATTTCCATCACAAATTTTGGTATGTCCAATGACGACATCAACAACGACAACAACTATACAATCTTTGTTCCCATCATCTTCGTCGGCTGGTTCGGCAAATATGGAGACAGTAGATCCGAGGCAAATGGCAAGCCATTTTCATATGCCATTAATGGGTAATTCTAATTCATCTTCTTCATCCCAAAACATTTCGACTTTATATTCATTGCTACATGGAAGTGGTGGTGGCAACAATGGTGGTAGAGACATTGATAATCGGATGTCTTCTTCTGTCCAATTCAACCGAGATAATACAACTTCAGCGGCTAATATGTCGAAGCTTCTAGGGTCAGAGAGTAGTAGCACAAGTAGAGGAAGTGAACACCATATGTGAAATTAGGCTAGCTATATTGAAACAATTAATGTTGATGTGTTCAGAAGCAAGGGGACACAAAACAATATGAATAAATTACTATCTAATTAATATTGTATAATTTTCAAATACAAATTGATACATAATTGATTACTTGTATTTTTGCATGTGTTTGATTTGGAAATTTTCTCATCAAAATATATAGCTTCCTCGTAGCTCATGATGGATACACAAAAACACTTACATGAAATGTAGATTCATTAATCTATGGTATAATTAAGCGCGTGTGTGTATTTTTGGGTTTTGGTGTTTAGATATTATGTATGAATTCTGAGAATGAGAATCTAGGACACACAGATTCATCAATAGATAACTCAATAGTATGGAATGGAACCTAATAGTTGTATTATTGAAATGTTTATATATGTGTCTATTGGATGCACAGTGCTACATTAACTAACTCAACTAGCTAAGTAGACAAGTAGTAATGACTGGTACTAGATTAGAATTAGATGATGAATGGTGTGTGGGATATACAAGTGTCCATTTTTAACTATCTCATTAAAATAGTAAGTCGGATTTGAACTGATGCAAATATATATAGTATCACATGCATGCATGTTCACAAATGTAGAGTTAGGCTTAAATGAAGATGCAAATATGAAGATATGATGCAACAAATTATAATTGAAAGGAGGAAACAAGTCTTATAACTAATAACGAGTGAAGGAGGAAGAAGAAATAGTTGAATAGGGTAATAGAGACAAAAAAAAAAAAGGCTAGTAAATAATAATAATGGTTGGTGTAGTAGTACAATCTTTGATTGATTTGAATAAAAGGCTGCCGATCCAATGCTCTCTGTGCCTCTGTCCTATATCATCATACTTTCTGCAAAAAGCTTCCATGTCGTCCATCTCTGCCTATGTATGTATGGTACATGATATTTCTATATATTGACAGTAATTATTTACACTATTTGGTTCACCGAACCAAACCTAGAAGAAACCAATAAGAAAACTAAAAAATTGAATTATCTGATTTATGACTTTTCTTTTTAAAAACAAGCATTTTGAATTTGTAGTAGTGCTAACATTGGGTCACTCAGCTAGCACTATAACGACGCCGTTTAGTGTTGGGCCTATGACAAAAAGCCATTATATTGAAACTCAGTTTGATAACTAGAAAGGCCCATGAGCCTCTCTCTCGAATCTTTTTAAGATTTCCGATCTAGTTAACTAACTTTCGTCGGAGGGATATAGTTATTTAATTCCCGCAATAATGGAATCATCGATGATTATTACATCATCGCTGTAACGTTACTACTATATAAATAAAAAAAATAGTTCATTTTTAAATAAAACATTATAATTTTTAATCTCCTTATTACGGGAGAAAACCAAAAAAATAAAGGTAATTTGATAAGCTTTTGTAAATCTAAATATATATTTTGGTTCTTTAAAAACAAACTCTTGTTCATCACTCATCAGTAGCTGCGCTTCAATAAGTTTCTCAAATCTCCCACTCCTTGTCTCTGGATCGAAAAGGGTTTAGCATTGGAGCTGGGTTTTGTTGATTCGCATTCGACCCTTCTCTCTATTTCGCGTCTGGGTAGTTGGTACCCCACTCTCAATTTCTCGCTAGGGTTTTTCTTCACCGCCGATAGCTTTAGCTGCCCGAGTGTGTTGTCTGTTCTTCTTCCTCGGTTTAAATCCTTGAGGGGTTTTACAATGGAGTTAGCCTTTTCTTCGGTATGCATTCTACTTCTCCTTACTCTCTCAACTTTTTTTTTTTTTTTTGGGCTCTCTAATGCGGTCAATTGAACCCAACGATTAGTTTCTAGGGTTTCGCTGAACACTGTCTCTTCTTAGTGACTGGAGCATAATTGATCTATCATTTAATTTCAATTTCCTTTGTGGGTGGGAATATGTGGTCAGTTCTTCGTTTTTCTGGGTTAGTTTAGTATTGATTCTTATGTCTTATTCTCTCTTATTTGTTCTTAGGTGCGGAAGGGACGAATTTTGAGGAAAATGAATTGATTTTGGTTTTGTGTTCTCAGAGGGATGCGTGTTGTGTTGTTTTTTCATTCAAGAAATGGTTATGTTGGGTGAAGTTGCAAGAAAGATTGAATATGAGCAATGGAGGTGGGGAAGGTGGAAGTCAGCAAAGAGAATTACATGGTAAGAGAAAGATTTCCCGAGGCAATGATTTCGCCTTTGCCATAGCCAGAATGGCTGTCGCTCAGATTTGCGAGAGTGTTGAGGTTAATTCCTATCAGGATTCACAGACACGGGAGGGCCTGAGGTTTAGTTCTTTTCAAGAATCTGCTCTTGAATCACTAACCGATGTTGCCGTTCAGTATATCCAGAGCATTGGCAAGACTGCTCACTTGTATGCCAACTTAGCCGGTAGAGTAGATGGTAATTCTCTCGACATTGTTCAAGCATTAGAGGATTTGGGATCTGGTTTGGGATTTGCTGGTGTTTCAGATGATAACCGTTGTCTTGCTGATTCCGGTGTAGTCAAGGATATTATTCGTTATACTGGAGAAGCAGAGGAGATGCCGTTTATTTATTCTCTTCCCCGCTTCCCATTTAGTAAAGAGAAAAGACCTGCTCCTAGTCTCCCTGAGGTCCGAGGAGAACCTCCAGATGAACACATTCCTGTTTGGCTTCCTGCATTTCCCGATACCAAATTGTGTGATCAATCAGTAGAAACTAATGCAGGCACAATCGTACAAGAGATTCCAATTAAAGAAAATGGGACATCTTTACGGAGTATGCAACATTCTTTTGATGGTGCTAGGTTAGAAATACTTAAATCTCTAAAAGATGCTCGAGACACAGCAGAAGCAGAAGTGGAAGGCAACCCCTTTCTAACTGTGCCTCTTCGATTTGTGGAGAAGGATGTGTCACCTTTTTTTCCTCCTTTGGAGCTTTCAAATCAAGTTGTTAGAATCAACCACGTTCCTGATAAACATATGAGCAACAACCATTACATCCCTGTTCTAGAGGCATCTGTTCCCTTAGATGAAATCAACAACAAGAACGGGTTAGCTGATTCCGAGGATGGAGGGAAGAAAGAAGGTGCAAGGATACAGCCAACTCTGGTGCGCTTCAAGATTGGGAATAGAAAAAGACCTACGTCTTTGGCAATAAGTCGGAGCTTCCAGGAAGAGGGTTGGTTTCAAGAAGGTGGTGACAATAGGGAGAAAAAGTCAGAGATTGAAGATAAGCGCGGAAGAATTGACTCACAAATTGTCCACTCAGATGTAAAATAGGTATTATGTCATTTTAGACTTTATAGACAAGCTAGCTTTGCATTCTGAGTTTAGTAATCGTTTGCAACTGGAATACATTACTTCTTAGGGTAAGAGATTTTTACTAATTCAAAATGATGGAGAAATAGAAGGTTGTTTGGCCTTTAACTTCATTTGCCGGTGAAATATTATTTTGATAGACCAATTAATATGCTCTTGGCACTTTTTGGTATATGGATGATCCTTGAACTTAAAATACAATTAATATGCTCTTGGCACTTTTTTGGAATATGGATGATCCTTGAACTTAAAATACTTACATTAGTTAGACCTGTATATATATATGCTGGTTACAATAAACAAGTAGGAAGAGAACAGAACATGCAAGAGGGCTGAAAACCCAAGGACCAAAGGTTCTCTTCCTCTCTAAGCTCCCTTCATTTACAATTCTAAGCGATAATCATAAAAAATTAGCAGAAGCAAACTTCATTAACCAAATCTCTGAAAATCATTCTCTCAATATCTAACACAATCCCTGGTTCAAACTCTTTCAAGTTCATGCCTTGACTTTTCAGGTTGTCTTCCTCATCGTCGTCCAAGAGACACTTTGAGTTGTTTTGTTGTAACCTATCAATCTCTGAACACAGAGTCTGCAGAAGTTTCTCTTCTTTTGATATCTTCTTCATCTTTCTGAGTGGATTTGCGGTTAAACGTGGTTTGGTACAACCTTCTGCAGTGAATCTCTGAGCTAGCATCTCGTTAACGGTGTCAAAGACTAGTTTTCTCCTGATTTTCTCTACCAGGTTTGTTTGCTGTTGTCTTCCTCTGCCTCTGAATTTGCTGTCCGGTAGAGTCACATTGCTGGCCTTGTTCTGTTCCAGGACAAAGAACAGTCCAGGATTGATCGGGAGGCGTGCTTGGTGCAGCTGAAAGCTTATCATGCTGTATTCAAGATCTCTTAGAATCCCTGATGCCAACAATATCTCCAAGATATACTTGTTGTCGCCGCTTTTGAAGTCTGCACCATCTTCAGGGAAGCTGTCGAGAAGATGTGAACCTGGCTGTGTTGGGTCCTGATTACTCTCAGGAAATAGTATGGATCTGCAGAAGCTGGTAGGCTTGTTTAGCCACTCAGATTCTTCAGAACATGAAGCATCCTCCTCTGTGGCAAAAGAACCAAAACAAAGGTGAGAACTTTACGCAAACCAAAACCTTGTGATTCCATGTAGCTAATTAGCACCAATTTATATGTAATTGCTACTATATATGAACGAGTCACTAATCAGTCTGAGAGTGTCCTTTTTTTTTTCCAGTGTCTTCTTACCTTTAAAACTAAGGGATATCTTCCTCACAGGGGATGGTGAATCCTCTTCGTCGAAGGCTGCATCAAGAACTGAAACAGGACTCGGTTGTTCAATGGTAACTTTCAGAGGTTTTAGGAACGGTCTGTCCTGTTTGATTCCAAAGTCTGGACTCTGCATTGATAAACAGAAGATGTTCAGTTAAGAGTATTAATGAATTATCTTGAGAAGTGAAGATTTGTGTGAGAGATAAATACCCTTTGTCTTGGGGTGTGTTGCTCTTGGAAGTCACAGTTTCTCTCCAACCTATGTCTGCTTGTAACCTCGATGTCAACATTCAATCCCAAGCTCATGTTGCTGTCAGATCTTAGACTCCTCAAGTCACTGCTTGCATCACTTAACCGGTCATCAGGTTGCTGAGAAGTACTGCGAGGTTTTATGCCCTGTTTTCTTCTCGGGGAGGCTATCTCTGTCTGCTGCCGTCCGATATGCTTTTTGCCTGGCTCTGATTTTGGAGTTGTGGGTCGAGACTGCTTCTCGAACCCGAGCTTTTTTGGCTGTGTTCTTGGGCTTACGCTGTGCTGTTGGCTCCTACCTGCCTTGGTCATGGAACAAGAATCCGCAGCCAAAGCTTGCCCCGACCGTAATGTTTTTAGGCTATTGCTCTTTGTGGAATCGAGTTGGCCCTTGTAGAGGCCTGGCCTTGGGGTTAAATCCATCGCGTTCTGCTTCCCTGATGTGGATTTCCTGGTTTGTTTAGAGTTGCCAACCTTGACATTTGGTAAGCCGACATTCTGCGGCAGCGAAGAGGTTGAAACTGGAGCCGCGGAGTTCATAACAACGATCGATGAAGATTTGAAGTTTCTGGCTGGACTTGTTGCAACTGGAACTGGCTGGTGAGTTTTCTGCATAAGAGTGGTTGTACTCGGTGTACTGTCATCTCTGCTTTCATCTATCAACTTCTGCGTTTTCTCCATAGCCTCAAGTATTTGCTTTAGAGCTCTGAGATCTTTTCCTGACTTTTTAAATTCCAACTGTGTAAGCCGCTTCTGAATTTCGCCATAAACCGTCAGTGCAGTGTCGCCTGCTTTCATTTGCTTCCATGGAGCTGGTTCCATTGGAAACTTAGAAGCAGCAGAAGCAGGTATCTTCTTGATGGAATCAACGCTTCTAGATCTCTGTAGAGCTATTGGTTCCACTCTAGATATTGGCCTTGGAGAATCACAAAACCGGTTCTCTCTTCTCTGTTCAGTATCAGAATTATCCGCCATGACTTCAAGACCCATTAATTTGGCAACAACACTCGAGTTCGATCTCCTGTGACTCATTGTTGCGGATTCCTCTGGACAGCTTGATCTCGGGGTATCTGCTCTCGGACTCCTAAAAGAATTTGACCTACTATCCAAGGACAATCTCGGTGTCTCTTTGAACTTCGAAACCGTCTTGTATCCGTTGTTTCTCATGTCCCTCTCATCATAAGAAAGGCGATGGCTTTCCTTTAGCCTCGCAGCCACTCCTCTTCCTTCACACCACTCGTCAGAACTCCGACATGGTGAACGCAATGATGAGTCTTTGAGAAGTAGAATGCTAGTTCGAGCTGAATTGGGCTGCTGCTGCTGAGTGAAGGCTACTTCTTCATCTCTGGTTCTCATATCTCTATTAATAGAGCCTTTCACAAGCTCCTTTAGATCATATGGCATCATCAGGCAACCATTGGGCTGCTCTCTGATCAGAGTCTCACCAGGCGGGTCAAATTGAGAAGCTGTGGTACTGACTTCTGCAGACGAGAAGCTCGAGGACCGTGGAGAAGACGAAAACGAAGGCCTTGAAGAGGATTCAGAAGAGGCTCTATGCTTCTCCTTTGCAGCAGACTTCTTCTTGGTACTACTCCTCTCCTGCAATGTCCATAAAAAGCCTCTGTTTCTTTCAGCCTCTGTTTTCTCAATTCGTATTCTTTAACGATGATTGTATAAACTGAGTTTAGAGTCTTACCGTTTCTTTATCACTTTCCATGTTAGTCTCACCGACGATATCTTTGCTTTCTCCTGCAAAAAGAGCCCCATGTGCTTAGCTATAAGCCTGTTTTGGACTGGTTCTAGTGAAACTACTCTGTTTCCTTGTGGTCCTAAACACTGAACTAAGATTTAGAGAGAGAGAGAGAGAGAGTTCAAGTTACCTGGAGGCAAAGACTTGTCTACATGGCCGGAGACGGCGACTGGTCTCGCCGGACAATGTTGCCTGTAAAACACTTGCAAGATACCATTCATGCATCCAAACTGTTTATTGAGATTTGGGTTCTCATCTGACAAGTTATACAGAAGTTTTGCAGACATATCTTCCTCTGCTTCTTAACAGTTATCTCAAAAGGGATAATCTAAAAAGACTATTTTTCACAAAATTCAAGTTTCTCTTCATATACACATACTCTGCTTTTTATAATCTCCAGTTTCTTCGTCTATTCACTCTGTTCTGGGTGTAAAGATAGTGATCTTGTGTTTCAGAAGAAGAAGAAAAGAAGAAATGGACAAGAAGAAGCCAACATTAAGGACAAATGATAGCTTCTTGTAAAGTAATGACCAGACAGCAGATTAGGCTCCTCTGCGTATTGCTTGGAGGCTACCTTGAAGAAGAAAGAAGAGAAGGGCAACAGAAAAAAAAAAAGTATTGGTTTTTGGTGTTTGAGAAAGAGGTTTCTCTATCTTTAAAGGCAAAGATACAACTGTCAAAGGAGGCTTTGAAGCATATATAATGTAATGCATGTACATGTGTTAACATGTTAGAATTATATACTTGTAATTGCAAGAAAGAGTTTTTCTTTTATTATATCTCAAAATAAAAAGAGTATTATAGTATACATCTCTTCTAATCTTTTATATTCTTTAATTATGTCAGAGCTCTGAAAAATTCTGCTCGCCAAATAATGAGGAATCTGGTTCACCTCCTAAGATGATAGTTATGCACATGACAGCACCAGGCAACTTATTTTTAACAAAAACATTAAATACTTAAAAAAAATATATTCGGAAAAAAAATTGGTTATATTTTGGATATATTATAAGAAATGTTAGGCATGTCTATCTATTTATATTCATTTCAGTGTGTTGGTATA